TCTCTTGGATACGCACAACACGCACTCGCCTGTGGTACACTCTGTCTGATGATGCTTTCGGTAATGTTTGGAACGTGCTTGAGTGCTGGCGTATGTACGACCACAACTGATATGCTGAAAAATAAAAAAAACCATTATATATATACAAATATAAAAACAGATAACAGCCGGCCGCCAAGGCAAGCCTTTGAATGACTCTGTCAGCCGTACAGCTCGTGTTTTGAAGGACTCAGACATCAATCATTCAATGACTAACCACCTTGGTCTTTGGACATTCATTGAGATAACAGGTGTTTATCTCAACCCATCCCAGACACCTCTTTGGATTGATCGACCGACCAATGCTTTCTTTGACCTGGGAAGATGGACACCACCACGCAAAACATCAAAAAAATGTTGCATAAAGCACTATGTCTAGTGGGGGTGATCCTCCTTTTATGAACTTTTGAGACCCCTGATGAGTGAGAGCAGCACCAGACACCCCCTTTGGACCTTGTGGACACCACCACGAGAAAATTGTTGTGATATCAATCAAGATTATAGTATATTAATACTCAACACATCAAGATGAAGCGATCAATATATTATACATCACTGTTGAAKTGATTCATAGGAATTACAGTCTTGGACAGCCACGCAACGACGACCATTTACAGCTAACTTGGATCGTCGCACACCAACCAAGGACCTACATCATCCAACAACTCCTATGATACTCCAACAGACTCGACTCATCAAGATGAAGCGATATAGCACATTCATTGCCGTTCATCGTGATATATCAACGAGGGTCATCAACATCAACAGCTATAGTCCAATAACAACTTGATCGAATGTCGAACACCTACTGCTGACCAAAATCGTCCATCATTCACCTATTATACTCAACTCACCAAGATGAATCGATGCATAACACATTCATGTCCTTTAAAGCAATCTACTAGTGCTTGGATCAAAGATTGAAGACACATGGACAGTATAACTAGCTTATGTTGCCAGCATCAACCAGTTGTATTGTTGTTATAAACAGAGGTTTTTGGATTTATTGGTGATTGCGAGCTATCCTCTCTGACTGCTGATGCTTCTGATCATCGATGTCAAGTTGAATGGCATGTTGGATGGCGAAGTTGTGATTGTTGTCTTGTGCTTCTTGGTCTATGCAGCAGCAACAGCAGCAGTTGTCGTTGTGGTCACCAGAAACCTTGTTGGTAGTGGTTGATTCCATTCGAGAATACGTTCGATGGTCGTCAAGTAACATCCTTCGATATTGGTCGATGTCTGGAAGAATACTGTGTTGGATATTCTATAGAGTCGCAGATGTTTCCAAGACAACTGGACGATTGAGAGGGGAGTCAATGATGATGGCAATTGAAATGTGTCTAGTTTGGTGTCTCCAATTTAAGTGAACGGCAAGGCTTTGCAAACATGGGAAGGTGGATGTAGTGATCGGCAAAGAGCAGTGTGAGCTCTTTGAGGTGCGGAAAGGACATTTCAGTGAAGAACCCATATGCAACGTGTGCAATGGTGCATGAAAGATTGGAGATGGACCAAACACGCAAGCCACCCCAAGATTAGTGAGGCTGTCAGGGAGTTTGGTCCGGGATGCAACTTGTTGCATTCAAGACTGACCAGCCATTTGAGAAATGAGTCATCTATGAATGGTTGATGATCGCCAATTCAAATACTGATGATTGATGACTGGAAAATTCCGCTGGCTATTGGATGAGAGTATCTCGCCAGTTTGATGCTCTCCACGGGTGGCGGCAGAGAACCAGGAGAGATAGGCTGGTCCCAACTCCCTGACAAAACAAGCGACCTCAGGCTGTTTGGCAAGAGATTGTCGATTGAAGAGTTGAATTGGCAGGTTATCTCCAGCCTGGGCAAAGTGTCGGGGAAGAGGTGGCAGGCAAGTGTCATAGGTGTGTCTATCGTCAGGCTTCTCAAAGGCACAGTTGCGATTGATGGGAGAGTCGAGTAGCTAATGAATTTCAGGTCGGTACATTGCTTCTGTCCAAAGGTCGAGTAGAACCAACCCCAAAATGAAAATGGGTAGTTGGTGTCATCGGTAGGGATATGTTCCAAACAAACTGACTGAACAAAGGGAAGAGCCACATATAGTTGACTTGATCGCCAAGTTGGCCCGTGTATTAGCAATGTAAGACTTTAGTGTATAGTTATGGCGTGGATAGTAATAATATAGACAGATAATAGGGGGTAAGGGTAATTGTTGTCCAGTAGTGACTAACAGTCCCAGGTATTTATTGTGTACGGTCATCCATGAGCGTACGTGTGATTAGTGTAGTCGGTTGTCTCCGCTATCATGATGACTCTCGCCATTATGATGGAGACTCACGCCATATATACAGTCTTGGCTTTGGAACACAATTCTATTAGATGCCAGCTCGGCGCGTGTCATCTATCCATATATATATAATTGTGTAAGCCCAACAAGCAACGGCATCCATTGTTGAGATCAGAAATATGGATATCTGCATTCTTACCGTGCTTTGGTGTGTAAGCGATTGTTTGAACATCGACTGGTCTACCTCTACTTTGGCACCAACGGCACGATTGAGGGCGTGCTCCCGATCTATCCCCTGATTCGAAAGAACAAGTTACACTCCTATGAAGGCATCATTTAGCAGACATTCAGATACCATGGTCACTCGGTCCTCTTCAATTGTGACAAACTCAGTAACTTTTCAAACAACAATGACAAAATTAAACGGTCGATGTTACTGTCGAGATAAAACAATATATTCTTAATGGTTACAAAAGGAAGAGTATCCATTATTGTTATTGAATGGATAATTGTAAGCAACTAAAGGGAGTTCAGTGAACTATAGAAAGTTGACCTCAAGACTCACTCTTTCCCCACTTCCATCTTCACAACTTCCACCTCCTCGCCTCTCAGTTCAAGGACAAGATCTGGTTGCGTCGAACAAAGCCTAACAAGCCCTCCTTGATTACAAGGAGTGTTGTCTATTTATGATTCCGATCTGTTTGCCCTATCCCTCGCCCTGGCTTATCTTGAGTCCAGCTAGGCATCATTTGCTTTGGCCAGGAGAGTTCAACCAACAATGAAGATACACTGTTTATGAAGAAGACGACCAGACATCCAGGTTGGATCAAGATTGAAGGACGAAAAAAGATCGTAGATGTCCAAGACTGAACTCCTATGAATCGTTTCAATAGGGAGGACCATATATATTGATGCTGACAGATCTACCTCTACTTCAAACAATAACATCTACCAAACAAGATTATAATATGGATCGATTCAGCACAGAGTTGGTTCGTTTGACTAGAACTCCTCCTCAAGATTAATGAGGATTTATTAGTCTTTTGATTATAAATTGACCTTCCATATTCAACTTCTCAGAGACGGTCAACTTCTTCTTTTTTGGTTTCTTGGTAGCTACTACCTCCAAAGTGTCAACAGTAACATCAATGACGTTGTTACTGGCACTTGATTGATCACCATCGACTGTAACCTCTGTAGATAGTTTGCTAAACTGGTCTGTGAGATCGCCAATTGAGTTGGATGTATAAACTTGGTCATCATCCAGCTCCTTATCATTGACAACATCCTCCTCGTCTTGAGCATCTTGATCATTGCTATCGTCCACTTGATCATCAGACTCATCCTCTGAGTGCTGCTCAATTATTACCTGTTGCCTTGGTCGTCGAAGGAAGGAGGAGTACTTTTTTGCCGCCAGTGGTCGGTAGAACTGAGGAGTCTTTGGTCCTGCCCTTTGACGCAATGGTGTGATGGCACTAGGCTTGGATGGAGTCTTGGAGTTGCCAGTGACTTGGAATGTCTCCTGGAGGGGGGCTACATCATCCAACTCAATCTCATCAGTGGTTCCATCGGTAGACTTGGGCGATGGGAATTCTGGAATAATGCCATCAGAGGAGAGACGTATACAGTTGTCCTCAGTTGCGTCCAAAGGTACCATACGAAGTGAGTGGAAGAACCGATGAGATAGTAGTGCAAATGGTGGCGTCACAGAGTCTTGGATGCGCTTCCTGAGGTTGTTCAAAATTTTCCTCTGCTCCAGGTTCTCTGGCGCTTGGATATCAGATATGCGCAACTTGAGCAGAGAGCAAGATAGATGCTGAAGGTCATTCGAGTAGAAGAAGTGCTTACTGTCCGCATTGCGTTGATTGTGGATGACCTTGTTTGATTCTGGGATGCGGATGCGGCTCAGTCCATAGTCGGATATCTTGACAATGGAATGGTCCACTACCCAAGTCTGGTACAACCTTGATGATGGTTCGCTATCTGTATCGCTGCTGTTTGAACTTTCCAAGTCGTCCTGGTACATAATGTATTTCTTGCCAGTGGGCAAAGATTGCAAGAGGATGTTTCCAATGTGAAGGTCATTGTGCATGAACTCCAGGTCGCGTTGCGCGATGGACAGTGCATGGAGCACTTGGAAGAGGATGGACTTGTATTGTCGAAGAGTAATGTCATTGGTCTGGCGATAGGTGTACAGTGACTTTAGGTCGGCATATTCAAGGACAAAGTTCATATATTGTTGAGTCCGGAGATGTATCTTGTCGCCAGTGTCCTTTGTTCGTAAGTAGCGATGTCTCTGATTGTCCAATTGGTCATTGGCTACATCAACATTGTCTGTGCCATCATAAGGTGCAGTCTTGTACCATTCAACCATTGTGACAAAGTTGCATGACTTGTTCTGACTCATCAACTTGCCCAGATGCTCCAAGATGATTAGCTCGCGATAGCATTGGTTCTGCTTGTTGCCTGGCGATGAGATATATTGGCGTTTAACTGCAAAGTTGTTTGTTGAACTGTTGTTGTTTTTGTTGTTAAGTTTTGGCTCGTCTCGTTGATGTTCTAGATGTTGTTGCTTCTTCTTTTGGTGTTGCTGCTGCTGCTGCTGCTGTTGTGGTAACTGCTGCCTATCCTTAGCTCCAGTGACAAAGAAGATTTGACCATTCTTGCCTTGTGCAGTACCCAATGAGCTGTTGATCAAGTACCTGTTCTCCTTGTTGTTGTTGTTGCTGTAGTCGTCGTTGTCGTTGTTGACCAGTGATGAAAGATGACTCTTGAGGTTCATGGTTGAGTGGTGTAGGTACTCTTCACCATCATCGTCTTGGTCATTCTCATCTGCACTGGTGGAGCTAGAGTCGTGGTCATCATCTCCATCGTCGTCACTGTTCCGACTGGTTCTCAGTGGAGTATTGTAAGTAATCCTCCTATCCTTGCCACTCTTGACACAGAAATAGCCGTCTGGAGTTGCAATCATCTTGCTATAATAGCTATTCTCCAGTAAGCCAGCCTTGATCCCATGTGATGGTGTGGTATGTTTGTCATCATTACGGGATGAGGTTGGTCTGTTCCTTGGAGGCAACATACTGCCACTGTTAACCGTGTTACCACCATCGACCACTTGGTCAGCATGTATCGATGATGATGAGGTTGGGTAAAATAGAGGTAGTTTTAGTACCATTATTATGTTGTAGTTGTTGGTGTTTGTTGTTGTTATTGTAGTTGTTGTTGTTCAAAACAATTATGATTATCTTTGATGTAAAAAGTGAAAGACAGTTTGTCTTTGGTGTTGAAGATAGACTCACAATTAATTGTCTAATATAAAAACTGATTATTCAAATATTTGAATTTTGGAGGGAAACATTAAAGGTCCACGGCATCAGCATTAGTTATACATTCATATTTGTACAACACTGATTATTAAATGTAATTTATATATATATATATAAAGAGAATATAGATAAGAAGATGATTGCAAATGAAATTTGGCTTGAAGAGATTAACTATGATCACCAAGCTGCTTCCAAGGCTGAACAGGATGAGTGCGATAGAGAGGCACTTCGAAACACTGTAACTGTTGGCCAACCATTGATCAACAACAATTTAAATACTACTCCTGCTGATGATGTTGCTGCGGTTAACATCAAACCCACAGTCATCATCGATAACTCTAAAGACATCACCAAATCAATCACCCCAGCAGTGTTACATTCAGTTAACAACAACAACAACAACAACAACAACAACAACAACAATTACTCCAGAGAGATGGAAAGAAGAAGTGGATACCCTTGCTCTAACAGTAGCAACAGCAACAACAACAACAACAATAACAACAGAAGTAATCATTATAATCCGTACAGAAAGAACTCAAGTACTGGAGAGAGTGGCAACAACAGACAATCAAAGGAATCACCAGCATGTGAGCTAGTGAATCTACCAACGAGTATGTACTTGTGTAAGATCATATGATCGATGTATCTAACAAATAACTCCACCCAATAATCACTCTGACTACCTCAGTCGTTGCTGTTCAAAAGGAGACTGACCAAGCCAAACTAAAGGCAAGACAGAAGGAAATTGACTATGGCAAGAATACGATCGGGTACGATAAATATCTTGAAGCTGTTCCAAAGTAAGTGTCACCAGAGTTCACTCAAATACAGACATACAATTGACACCACTGCTGCTGCTGCTACCCTTATACCATATAATAGGAGGAATCGCGAGAAACATCATCCCAAAACACCAGACATCCACCAGAGATGCAGTCGACGTAGTTGGGTCGGACAGATCAAAAAGTGGAGGAAGGAGCTTCATAAGTATGACCCAGAGGATAATCAACAAGATATTGACTTTAACGACTCTGCTGACGAGGTGGCCACTGTAGAAACAGATCACAATGACAACAACAACAACGCTGGCACTGAGGACCTAGAGCAGAACCAACAGTTGCTATCATCATTGTTGTCTGTGGCCGCTACAACAACAACCACAACCACTTCACCGTCAACATCTCAATAGTGTCTTAGAACTTAAAACTGTAAATAAATAGTTACACCATCCATCCAATCAAAATCAATTTGTACAACAATGTGGGTGTGACCACTCCATCTTATCTTTTCAGCAAAGGGTATGACATCATTTATCCTACAAAGAATGAGATATAGTATTATAAGTATATTTATCAAACTATCAACATTGATATCAATATTATTTGGTTCACTGTTTACCTACGGTGTAGGATTGGTAAAACAGAACCAACAACAACAAATTCAAACCATCGATGGTCTAAGTAATAAGATTAAAGACTCCACTTCGCATCACCTTGATGAGGATGAGGTCCCACCAGAGCCACCTCAACAATACAACAGTAGACAAAGTTGCGATACTTTGAATATGCTCAGAGATAAGGAGGTATTCAAACTTTCCAACCCAAACTATGGGTACTGTGAAACGATCGACATTCTACGGAGGGATCAATTTCAGAGACTCAATGGTAAGTACTATATAGTGGCGGCCTACCTCTTTTGGATTTATCAAATGACTAACCTTCTTTAATTATATATATATATACAGACATGTGTTATCTTGATCATACAGCAGCAACACTATACTCCTCTGCTCAATTGGAGAGAGTCTTCAAGGACCTACAAGATAATCAGTATTCAAACCCTCACAGTCTTAACCCAATTGGACTAAAGACCAATGAACTGATCGATGCTGCACGTGAAAGGCTCCTATCTTTTTTTAATGCACCTTTCCGTCAGTACACTGTCATATTCACATCGGGATGCACTGATTCTCTAAAGATGGTTGGCGAGTACTTTCCATGGACCAGAAACAGCTCAACATTCTTCCATCTGCTAGAGTCTCACAACTCGCTCCTTGGCATTCGAGAATATGCCAATGAGCATGGGGCGCTTATCAAGCCTCTTCCAGGATCTCATTTCAAAGGTGGTGGTCCAACCAAAGACAACTTCCAAGTGTTACTAAATGAGATTGAGAATCACCGCCACCACAACCAACACAATCAAGTCGATGATGGAGGACAATCATTTGATCTACTCGCCTATTCTGCACAATGCAACTACAGTGGATCAAAGTACTCTTTGGATCTTATATCTAGTGTCAAGAACAAGTTCAATAATATGAAGATAGTAGTGGACGTGGCTAGTTTAGTTGGAACATCTGTACTGGATCTCTCCAAACATCAGGCAGATTTCGTCACCCTGTCATTCTACAAGATGTTTGGGTATCCAACTGGTCTTGGTGCTCTAATTGTACATAATGGTGAGTGATATGGCAATGATGACTCTTTCAAATGGTGGTAGTAGTAGCAACACTATACTAATATCATTTATATACCTAGATTGTATACCAATTCTAAACAAACTATACTTTGGTGGAGGTACAGTGAATGCATCGTTGGCACAGGAGAGGTTCCATGTGTTTAGAAATAGCAACCACCAGAAGTTCGAGGATGGCACCACCTCATTCTTGTCGATCATTGCACTCAAGTATGGCTTTGACATGCTAGAGTCGTTGGGTGTGCAGAACATATCGAATCACACCTTCTCCCTTGTCCAACATTTGTATAGAACGCTGACAAAGCTGAAACACCACAATGGACGTCCTTTGGTCACAATCTATGCGGACAATGACTACACTGACCCATCGCAACAGGGAGCCATTATCAACTTTAATCTGTTCCGATCTGACGGCTCCCCAATCGGCTCGAACGAGGTAGAGAAGCTCGCCTCTCTCAAGAACATACATTTAAGAGTTGGCTGTTTTTGCAATCCAGGTGCATGTCATGGATATCTTGGCCTCACAAAACAAGACGTTGAGAAACATCTGGAGGAAGGACATGTCTGTTGGGATGACAAGGACATTATGGATGGAAAACCAACCGGCTCAATTCGTGTATCATTAGGTTACATGTCCAACTTTGAGGATATTTATGTATGTCTACATCAACACCACAAGAGCAATCATTTGTATTAACGATATCATTAACTCGTACCCAATCAAATAGGAATTTATCCAGTTCCTTCGAGAGACATTCATCAATGAGTGTGTTTATATGAGTGGTCAAATGACTGGATTATCACAATCCCCACTTGGATCATCGTCTGATGTCAATATCAATGGACATTCGAGACAACAGCAACAGAGTGACATTTATCTTTTGGAGATCAATGTGTATCCTGTCAAATCATGTGGGGCGTTCAAGACTGACCATTGGGAGATTGGACCATCAGGCCTCCTCTATGATCGAGAGTGGACACTGATAGACAGGAATGGCATCTATCTCAATCAGAAGAAGATACCAACACTCAGTCTGATAACGACCAGTCTCGATCTGAAACAAAACATTCTGACTCTCAGCGCACCCGGCATGAAGACACTGCAACTACCATTGGACTATTATCCAGTGTCATCAATGAGCGAGATACAAGTTTGTGGTGATTCTGTTGAAGGCCTGCTCTATGGTGATGAGGATATAGACCGTGTCGGTAATGTCACTGATTGGATATATCAGTTCACAGGGCGAACTTGTTACCTTGTTCGAAAGAAACCAGAGAGTTCAAGAAAGTCCAGGATGGCACTGAAAAGTGGCAACAGCAACGAGAACAATGAGATTTCCTTCTCCAACGAGTCACCATTCCTCATGATCAGTGAAGAGAGTGTTGATGATCTAAGGAACAGAGTGTACCAACGTAATAAGGACGACGACCTGGACATCCACACATTCGATTGGATTAGCACCAATAGCTTCAGAGCCAACTTTGTCATCAAGGGTGGAAAGGCATACGAAGAAGATAACTATAATCGCTTCAGTGTTGGCGGTCTGGTCTTTCAAACGATTGGATTATGCAATCGGTGCAAGATGATATGTGTCAACCAGTCGATGGGTGTGGAGGAGAAGGAGCCACTGGCCACACTATCTACTTATAGACGACAAGATGGACGCATTGTTTTTGGACAGCATCTCCAATTTGTTGGCCCTTCACAAGAACGAGGAGACTGTTGTGAGCGGATCACAATCACATCTTATTCACCTTTGATCAAACTAAATTAAAGTGGGTGTCATCCTGTTTTTGTCCTCATGATTATGATAATGACACCAACACTTGCATACACACATGTTTGATTCGTCGCCCGCTCAAGATGTGTGGGCTGATGTGGCCCACTTAAAGGGCGATAAACAACAACCCCCGATCACTCAACACAATGGTTCTCAATGATGATGTTAGGTGATCATTCATTGAAGCACACATACACACATTCAACACAAATAATACTCATACAAGTATTGGACACGACATTATAAATATAATACACACAAGCTTAAAAAGGTAACCACTTCCCGCCGACATGCTGCACCTGTCTGTCAACAACAACAGTGGCAGCATACCATTTGAATTCTCTCAATCAAATAATTAAACGATCACATAATATATAATATAATCATTGCCATAGAGTTACCAAACTTCAGGTACACAACTTCTGTTCTTGCAAGATTGATAGATAGAGAAAACTAGGTTTTAAATTGGTAAGGTCAACAGATTATTTCAATAGCTTGTTTTCCATATCTCAAGTTTGCAAACTCATCTCGTTCGACAGCATGATCATGTCAACACACCCAAGCAAGTTTACCAACTCTAACAATCAATCCAAATTCCAATATATATATTCATGAAATTAGAATGGAATTATTGGTCGAATCCCCAACAGTGGCCAAGTCTGGACAGAGGGTGATGTCAATCTCACCCTATCATCTAAAGAAATGTCTTTCGTTCAATGACATCTTGATGACTAGTACGCCGCAGACCCCAGTGGACAATAGTCTCTCTACCTTTTGTGCTCATGACAATCAATCACCTCTGCCCAAGTTTGAACTTGAGCTCGAGGACGACCAGGAAGAGGAGTGCGAATTGCAGTTGAAGAAATCATCACAAACGATCAAACAACTATTACAACAACAACAACAACAACAACAACATCATCATCCTCAACTTGCCACCAATTTGAAATCGATCAATGGCAATAACCTTAACAATACAATAACAGCAGCAGACACACAACCACCAATTATCACACCACCTCCACAATTGCAGCCATCCAACTCATGTGGCTCCATACGACACACTTTATACATGCCAAAGTTGGACACTGACTCTTCACAGAATACACCCAACGAAAGCTGCTCTTCCTCACCGTCCTCTTCATCGAACCGCACCTTCTTCTCATCAACCGCATCGACAACCAATGAATCTCCACGCAACAGATTAATCACTACCAACCAGCAGCAACAACAACAGTCACTTTGTAGCTCAGTATCACCATTGGCCAATAGCTCCGTGTACGGCATATCACCATCAAAGACCGTTCTACTCCGAGTGAAGCTACCACTTTCTCATCCATTGATATCCAAAGTGTTTCGATTCCCATTGCACTTTACCATCAGCGAGATGATGGACCAAGTCCACAAGATGGTACGATTGGAGAATAGAGTCAACTTGATCATAGTACACAAGCAGTCTATTCTTCCGCACAACCATCCACTGTCCAACTATTTTGTCAACGATGATGGAATCCTACCATTGGTCGAGGTTCGTGAGATCACCTCCCTATCCTCCACCAAACCTACCGTGCTCAGCAACACCACCTGTCAATCAGCCAACAACAATCCACAAGCTACAAACACACCGCCACGACCCAAGCTCTTGCACTCGAGTTCATTTAAGAATCTGCTCAACTCTATGCCAAATCCACAGACCAACAGGAAGCGCAACAGCAACACCAAGGACAGCTTCCTATTCCAGCCACCACTACCCTCGTACACCACCGAGCTGGATAATCTGTTCTGGATCCACTCACCAGATCAACACACCAAGGTGATTCCGTGTCTGCATCTCAAGTGGCGCTCCAGTGACGGCCAGGATTCAAAATACACGATCCTATACAGTGGCGGCGATCGAGAGGATCTGGGACTGGTTCGCAAGAGCCTACGCATACTCTCTGATATTCTACTCTGTAACATTATCTGCTACGACTACACTGGCTTTGGTTTGAACTCAAGTGGCAAGCCAACCATGAAGGAGTTGCTCAACGATATATCAATTGTTTATAACTATTGTATCAATAACCTAAGTATCCCATCATCAAACATTATCCTGTAAGTACATGTAGATTGTAGTATCAATCATAAACATGATATTAACCTCTGAAACAATACCATCCTCTTTAGAATGGCCAAGTCAATTGGAACAATATGTAGTCTACAATTTGCAGGAGAGTTATATCCTAGACAGACTAGTAGGACCAATATTGGATATGGAAGTATTGGAAGGAGTCAGAAGAAGCCCGTTGTTGTTGTACATACACCTACAAAGGAGGAGAGCGCAACCAAACAGCCATTGGGTGGACTGATCCTCCTGAGCACCTTTGTCCCAAACAGCATCAGTGAGAACATTGTAAATAGGTTCCTGTCATTGGGTACGTTTGACCACTTGAAGAACGTCTCACGCATCGCCTGTCCAGTGATGGTGATACACGGTGCAAACGACGATATTGTACATATCAAGGGTGCCAAGAAACTGTCCAAGCAATTCCAGAATCTATTCAAGTATATCCCAGTGAAGGACGCCTCACACTGGAACCTGGACAGCGCCTATCTGGACGACTATGATGACCACATCATCGACTTTTTAAAGTCAATCTCTCCTGAATCGTTCAATCGCAAGGAACGTGAGCTGCCTTCATCTTACGCCATGTCTCCAAGCAAGGTGGTGGGATCGTGGCTGCATCGACTCAACTTGGGCGAGTACACAGACAGCTTCCTGGCAGCCGGTTACTTTGAAATGGCATCGATTGCCTCTCTCGACAAGAATATGTTGGAACTGTTAGGAATTGAAGAGCAGCATATGTCTACCCTTTTGGAGGCCATTAGCAAGATACCAAACAACCGACACTCATCTGGCAGCAGCTCTGGTAGTGGTGTTGTATCATCAACATCATCGTCCTCTTCTTCGTCAGCAGAGGATCTATAGGTTATGTGTTTGTACATATTCGATTCACAATAAAGACGATGCTTCAATCTTTGTTGATTGATGCCATTCTTTGTTTCAACTTTAAGCTATTATATAGTCGGGATCAATCCCATCCATCATTGTTATTGTCTTCATTGCCATCGTTGTTAACATCATCATCATCATGAGGTTGTTGAGTTTCCTCAACTCTACTACTTGTTTGATGGGTGGTTGTTTGTTTCTTCACTGAATGTCTGTCTGACTCCTCGTCATCTGATTCATCTTCTTGATCTCTTTCTCTTTTGTTCTTTGATGGTTTATCTGTCATCGTCGTCGTTGTCGTTGTTGTCGTCGTGGTATTGATATCTGTCGGTGTGTCCAACTGATCATTTGGTAATGATCTCTTTGCTTGGTCTGGTGTTGCGTGCTTCTCTGTCCACTGAGTGGCAGTCAGTATGTATTGTTGATGATTGTTGAGGAAGACATCAGTCTATAGTGTTAGATATATAGTAAGTTAGTTTATCTCTCACATACTCTCTCTCTCTCTCTCTCTCTTTGAATGTACAGTGATACTACTTACTATCTCTCTAACAAGAGGGTCCAATGGATTTGGTTCAGACATCAAGAGTCTGATGGAGCTGAGCACAGTGGACAGGTTCAGTGCCGGTGCCCATCCACCCTTTGGTGGCATGTTCAGAATGTTCAAGCATATCCTACCATGAGAGTCAACGTTGGGATGGTAGATAGGAGTGATGAAGCGTACCTTGGGCGGTTCAAATGGGTACCTCATGGGCATAATGATGTCTAGGTAGAATATACCCTTGTGAAATGGTGTCTGTTCTGGTCCAATGATTGCTTTTGTTGTTGTTGTTGTTGATAGCAGTGAGTATGAGTTGAACAATGAAAGTAGTATCATACGTACTAGCTTCTAAATGATCTACTCTATCGTCGACAGTCCATGCTTGAATGCCAGGTGGAGGGTCTTTGTCAAAGAGGTTCAGCTCATATTTCAACCTTGATAGCAGTTCCTTTGGCAACTCGCTCATTATAAATATATATATCAATGATGTTATAACAACTATGTACAATCATATAATAATGCCACTTCAAATTCTACAACAACAATCGATTGTTTACTTTGAATGTCAATAATCATATTCGTCATCGGCAAGTGGATGTCCACAAAGTGGTGGTTGTTGATGTTGTTGTCCAGATGACGATGATGCAAGAACAAATTGAGTCTTCTTTACCGAGTTGCCACCAGAACTACTACTATGGTTGTTGTTTCTATCCCTAAATCCAATACCATTTCCACCTCGACCACGACCACCTCTTCCTCTTCCGCCACGTGGTCCACCTCTGCCTCTGGCTCTTCCTCCTCGGACTCCACCTGATCTCTCCCTCCTAAACTGGTTATTCTATATATAATGGTTGTGTTAAACCTAAGGATTTTCCACAAACCAACCAAACAACACTATCATATGATACATACACTCATAGCGACGGTGATCAACTCTGGTGGTACGATCTGATTGGCATTCTCTAGATGCTTGACCAGTTCAGCAGAGAAATGGATATCCTTTGGTGTGATCAGCGTATGTGCAACACCTAGACTACCAGCTCGACCTGTCCTTCCAATGCGATGTGTATGTGATTCAATGTCACGAGAGGGATCAAAGTTGATGACATTCTTTATCAGATTGATATCAAGTCCACGAGCTACAGTACATTAATGAGAGCTTTGTGTGTTAGGTCCAAAGAGAGAGAGTACTAGCACTGATTGTTATATATTTATATATAAGGTTACCTACCTGCTACATCAGTGGCCACCAACACTGGGATGCTACCCTCTTTAAACTTATTGATTATCTTTGTTCTCTCTTGTTGGTCCTTGTCACCATGTAATCCATCAACTGTTAACAGTTGTGTTGGTGGTGGAGGTGTTAGGTTAACTCAATAGTAATGGATTGTTGTGAGAGAGACTTGCGCGTCCTTCCTTACCTATAAAGCCAAACTTTATCAAGTTGGCTGATAATTCATCTGTTGCATTCTTGGTACTGACGAATATTATAACATTGCCCTGTTGGATGAACTGTGGCAATCGTTGAACAAGCCACTGCCATTTATCAGAGCTAGAGCTCAATACTGTAACTAATTGTGTTATATCTTGATTGGCCTGGTGCAAAAATATATTAGAGTTAGTTTAAATGTGTAGTTGCCAACTACCAAATTATTATACACATACACTTCCAGCACTACCAATGGATATCCTTATTGGATCAATCAAAATATTCCTGGCCAAGTCTTCAATGTGTTGTGGAAATGTTGCAGAGAATAATAGAGTCTGACGATCAGGACGTATCTGACCAATGATCGATTGAATCTGAGGTCCAAAGCCCATGTCAAACATTCTATCTGCCTCATCTAGCACCAGGTATGTCACTCTGTTCATCTTTGTTGCTTTTAATTTGATCATATCAATAAGTCTTCCCTATAGATGTTGTTGATGTTGTTGTTTTGTTAGTTTGGGTCCAATATATTAAGTTCTCTTGGTCACTTGATCAAAGTACATACAGGAGTAGTAACAAGAATCTCACAACCAGCTTTGAGTTCACGACATTGTAGTAGTTTGGTTACACCTCCATATATGACTGATGTTCTAATCTTGTAGGGTCTGGCAAACTTTTGTGTCTCTAGGTAGATCTGATGTGCAAGCTCACGAGTTGGCGCTACGAACAGGGCAATGGGACCGTCACCCTTCTCCAGATAGGGCTGGTCCATGATGTGTGGAATCGATGGCCAAATGAAAGAAGCCGTCTTGCCAGAGCCAGTCTTGGCAATGGCTATCATGTCACGACCGCTCATGGCAATCGGTACCGATTGTTTCTGGATGGTGGTAGGTGTTTCGTAGCCTTGCTTCTGGATGGCCTGAATCATGGTGTCGTCAAAGCCCATGTGTCCAAATGAGGTGACTGGGTTGACCAAGTCATTGCCAATGATCCTAATGTCCAGCTCCTTGCGCAGGGCAAACACACGCTCTGTGGACAGATCGGCAATGTCAGAGTCCTCCTCATAGAAACACTTTTCAAACTCGCCATAGACGATCTTGGAGTGGTCAAGAGGAGGCAGTGGCTCGATAAACTTCTTCCTGTTTGGTCTAGTACCGCCGGCGATATTTGATTCCTCATCGTCAGAGCTGTTGTAGTGATGTCGTTGGTGATTGAGTTGGTGGTGGGATCAGCCATGTATTAATACGGTTGAGGACAACACTTGAGTGTCGTAGAGGCAGCGGCAGCATTGATAAGCTGGCACTCTCTTCTCTCTCTCCTCCTCCTCGTCATATCGATCAGTAGAAGCATACTCTTGCAAAAGCAATGGGTCATAGTTTTCATCGTCAAAGTCACCAGCAGCAGCAATGCTATCTTTCTCAGCCTTTTCCAACTGGAGTTTCCTCATCTTAAAGAAGCGCTCCTCCTCATCCTCCTCATCTATATCGTCTCGTTTTGCTCTAGCATTACTGTGCTGATCAGTCTGAACTTGTTTGTGAACATTCTCCATGAATTGATCCAATGTGTCAACATCATCATCGTCGTGTTGGTCCTTATTGCGCTGTTGGTTGTAGTCATTGTCACCTGTACTGATTCTGCTGCTGCTGCTGCTATCAAAGTGATTGTCATCACTCGACTCGAATGCTCTTGGCTTCTTTAAAGCAGGTTGCTTTAATTGGAATGACATTGATGTTGTAGTTGCTGTTGTTGTAGTGGACATTGGTGACAGAGTGATCAGTGGTTTCTTGGGCTTAACATCGACCTGATCGTCATCATTGTCATTATTGAATATATTGTTCAATCTCTTCATCGTAGGTATCTATGTCTCTCTCTCTCTCTCTCTCTCTATCTATTTAATTTGTCCCACTGAGCACAGCACCTACCTTGAAAGTTATCTGTTTGTCAGTTCATAAAAAGATCATTTGCTATCAATCATACAAATCTTTAAACCATGTTACCAACATACATTGAACAACAACAACAACAACAACAACAACAACAACAACAACAACAACAACAACAACAATATTACAACAACAACAACAAATATATGTCAATGAATAACAATAGTTCTAATACTATGCAACCTATGACCAGACCATTCAACAACAACACCAACACTACATACTCCTCATCAGTCAATGGAAGGAACAATACATTTGGATCATCATCATCACCATCACAATCAGTCGACAGGAAAATAACAATTGATTCAATACCCCTGACTCCAATCAGACCAATACCTCCATCACCAAACGTATTCGATTCCACTCCAAACTACAAGACACCTGCTCAGCACAACACCTCACTGCAGCAACCTCACATACCTGGCCAAGTCATACTAGAGGAGCTACTGTCTGATGATGATGAACAGAACAACAGTGTTATTCATCAACAGCAGCAGCAATCATTCTCCACACCACATCATTCCTCATCTCAATCATATGTTGGCGACTCTCCATTGACACCATCGTCCTACAACAGACAGAGTGGTTCCAACAAGACACCACGACGTTGGCGACTGGTCCCTGCTCACTGCACTTGTTTAATTGTATGTAGCCTGTTATCTGTTATTACATCAACCTAAGCTCTCATACTAACTCTTTCTCGAACATCAGCACAACATTGACAATGGTGATAGCATATGCCAAAAGTGCAACAATGTAGTTACATCAACTACCTCAACTACACCTGTAGTCCCAAACAACAACAACAGCAGCAGCCACCTCAACAACTCAACCACAAACAGAAGTGGTGTAAACACTACATCCTACATTCCAAGCTCAGCCTCCAAACCTCCCATTCCACCAAGTCCTATACCATCATCTGTACCAAGAAGACAGGACTCTTACGATCGCCTTTTCCAATCACCATCTCGTACACCAAATCAAAACAACAACAGTTACATTCACGAGACCAGCCCCTCAAAACGACCAGACTACAATGTCTACTCTAGTGGAAACTATGAGCGTGAGTTGAGGATGCTCAAGACCGAGGTACAGGACCTTGAAGAGGACTTTGCCGCATCGGCCAACAACAACAATCTCAGGACATCTTTCATCATGAACAATAGTACTGCTGCAGGCATCTTCATGGCAAAGGACTACGACGAAATCAATCGATCCAAAGAGAAGGTGGCCCAGGAGATCATTGGTACACAGGAGATAGTCTCTGATCACATCAACAAACTCAAGAACAGGTTGAGGCAAACGGAGCAGGCACTAGAGGCAGCAGAGACCCGCTATGAGAATAGCGAAGGTCAGAGTAGAGAGTTGCACAAGACCAACCAGGAACTTAGAGACTTACTAAGACAGACATCATTCGAGAGTCAGGAACTCAGAAGGGAACAGGATGGTGAATCACAGAGGCTGGATCTCGAGAACAATGAACTGCGCAACATGCTCTCGGCACAGAAACGACAACTACAGGCCAAGAGCGTGGATGACACTGTCATTGCTGGACTCGTAGACGAGATCACACAACTCTCTGAGGCCATCAATGATAAGCTTCAAGAGACCTCAATCAAGGACGAAGAGATACGTGAGAAGAATGATGAGCTGCTGTTGCTCAATGAGAAGATCGCCAACATGAAGAATGATGCCACCAATCAGGCCAAGATGCAACTTTTGCTGGAAGAGTTGGTTGCACTGAGACAGAGAGAGTCACAGGTCAATCAGGTAGCCAACGCCAAGGTCGAGGAGCAGCGATATCATCGCACGGCAGCAGAGAACAATTGGCGTCAATCAGAGGCAAAGTTACAGAGGATGAGCATTGAGTACAATCATGCAATGCGCAATCTGGAGGACATTACCAAGAGGGAGCAGACAGCAATGGCAGAGCTCACTGTGCACAAGGAGGAGAGAAAGGGCAAGGTGTTACTACCAAAGGTCGAGCTAGATCAAATTACAGATACTCTGGAGCGTCTCACTGAGAGTCAGAATAAGGCTCAGGATGAGGCCGTCCAACTCCGCAATCAGCTAGCAGAAAAGGAGGTCAAAGTGGAGGAGTTGATGAAGATGATCGATGTGTTGATGGCAGAGAATGATGACATGAAGGAGCGAATATCAAAGGTACACGTTGTCATTCATGATGCACCAATGATCCCACTTGCCGAATCACAAATTGCAGCGCTCACTCCCAGTAGACTGAGAAGAACAACCTTTGAATCTCTGTACCAAAGCATGAGCTCATCAACCACTCGTCCACAGATGTCTATATCTATCAATCAGTCAACCTACACTCCACCATCATCTACAACGACAACATCAACAAACCACTCTGGATCATACAAGATGACAATGCCAGACTCTGATCTTCAAAACAGTAGCAGCAGCAACAGCAATCATCAAAATGTTAGCAAGATTGTCAAATGGGATCAGATGGTATCCTCACTCAAGGAGAGGCAACTCAAACAGCAACAGGACAGAGACACTCAGAGAGCCAGTCAACGCGACGACAATGATGGCACTGTTGATGGATACTTGTTTGGTGAACAAAATGGCAGAAGTTTATTGTCTGGTGATACTATCTTTGGAACATTGAAAGATGAAGAACAAAATGTTGATAGCCATCCACCAGTGGATCAAGAACAGAATGAACTTTTGGTTAGTGAATTGGAGAATGGAGGATCAGGACTGGACCTGGTTGATGGTGACGATGATGATGAAGACATTGAATTCCCAGAGGATGACAATCTGTTCGAGCCAACTGATGAGGAGCAAGAGCAGGAGGAGGAGGAGGAAGAGGAGGATCAGAATCAGTTCACAGATGGAGGTCCAATGTCAAAGGTCATCGATCAGACTGGTGCAATGTTGGATGAGTTGGACATTGAGGATACCACTGACCAACATGTATCATTTGGTTCATCATCGATCGATAGGAGACTGGACCAATTGGCAAACAGCCACGAACTGTCAGACAGTACAAAGGCAATTGCAAGTCAGATAAAGAAGGTGGACAACAAAGGCAACTACAACATTGGAAAGCAACACAAGGTCAACATTGGTCTTAGGTCTGGAGAGTTGGTTGGTAAGTATTGTTATCACCATTTACAACAACATAATAATAATAATACTAATATACAATTTAGTTCGTGTAGGAGGTGGATATGAGATGTTGATGGAGTACTTGGAGAGACAGAAGAAGGACTTGGTATGGTACAGAGATGGAAAGTTGATAGACAATAAGGATAAGGGTATGAAATCATTATTATCGTGTGTTTAGATGTTTATGGAACACTATGTACTAACCAACCCACCAACCAACCAACCAAACAATATAGATAGGGAGATGGTCAGTGTCCAGAAGCAACTACTAAACAGCAAGAGTACTGCCGATGGACCACAGATCACACTTGTGAAGAATGGCAATCATAGTAGACTGTTTATTCAATCACCAAAGTAGTAGTTGTAGTAGTAGTAGTAGTAGGGTAATACACAACATCATCACTTGATTATATAATTAGTTGTCCACATCGATGTGGACTGTATCAATAAACATTCCATCCACCATCATCATAATTTATTGTTTGCTAGTCGCACAACAATACTATCACTTTTATATTTACAAGTAGTAGAAATGGTAACATAGTGATAACCTGGCTATCCTTTGACGCAACATACTAACACACTTTACCTGACGTTAACTAGAGTATCAACAACAGTACTACTACCAATGATTTATCGACTACGACACGTGATGATAGACATGTAATTGAACTACTGACTAAACCTTTGGTAGAGTAACTATTATAATACCTGGATACTTCAGACAAGAGAGACACCCAACACACATACTGACATCATTATTATATACGACAGTGACCAAGTGATAAAGATTCTACTACAACGCCAAGGGGTACCACCTACTACTACATTGAGCAGGGAGGCACAGAGTCTCTTGAACTTTGTCACAACCAAATTTGCTATGACTCTACTGATCGATACCTATGACATTAAGCTAAGCAATACCAAGGTAATATACCAAATCTACAATGTTGTTGTATCTAGCAGTCCTAACTAGTTATGTTGACGACGATAACAACAACAACAACAACAACAGACTGCTCTTCACAAAAGTGTCGATGGGAAGATAATCATCCAAACACTGCACTCTCTCAAAGAGTTTACCTCTGTGGCTCAGCAAATGAACATCAACAACACTTCTTCTGGTAGCCACAACAAATCAGTTGCTCCACTGCGTCCAAGGGATATGGGTAACATCAGATATAATCGTCTCAATCAGAACTTTTACGACAATGATGATCAACATGACGATGACCATTGTACAATGATGGAAGATGAAGACCACGATGATGCCAACAATACCCAATGTTTGAATCAACTCTTCTATCTGCCCAATTAGAATGTCTGACATCCAACCTTTAGTTTACTTTAATGTCCGAGCTATCAAGAAGAAGACTGTCCTGGCTCCTTCTGTTTCTGCTGTTGCTGTTGTTGTAATAGCTGTCTCTGCAATAGGTTTAGATACTCATTCATCTTGGCCAACTTTTCTTCGGTCATATCTCCTGCCAATGATTTCTGTTGGACCAGTTCATTGAAACGTTTGGTCAGCATCATATTGATGATCTCTTCCTCGGACATGCCCTTTGATAATTCATTGGAATCCTTTCGCTCACCTGGACAATTGTTGTGGCAGTAACAGGTAGGTGGGTAGGTAGTGAGCAAACAACACAATGTACATATCATACCTCCTCCTGGAATTGCATACAACACTTACGATACTTATTGTATTGAATAAAAAGATAATAGTATATGGCACATGTTCCCATGAACAAGAGAACAAAGCTAACGTAAAGTCTCTTTGCCTCTGACTTTGAAGCTACAGGTATCGCCCACTTTTTGTTGCTGTTGCTATTGCTAGTAGAGTACAACCTCTTCTTGTGTGTACATAGTAGAGGTATAGCTACTACCTCTTGTGTTTTTGTGTATATAAATGGTAGTTGTAGTTTGTCATTGTTTGTTATCTTTTGTATTTTGTTGTTGTTGCTGTTGTTGTTAATGCCATTGCTACTGCTACTTTGTGTAATGTTCACTAGTGAGAATGAACGCAGTGAAGAACGGTCCAACAACGACCTATATAATAATGGAGATGATGTTATCCTCTTTAGAATCATTGTTTATATATCTGTTATTGTAGTTGTCGTTGTCGTAGTTTTGTCATGAAGTGTCTTTTTTTGAACTTCATAACAATAAAATTGTTTGTTATTGTTGGTGATCATCAATTATTATTCAAAACACACCCAACAGTCATTTTAATAACCATTTAATACACTTATATATATAAATATAGTTCATATAATAATGGAAGAGGTGAGTATTAATATTATTATGATCATGACTTAAGATATCACTTCTAACATTACTCCTGTGTGCACACTTTTAACCAGACCGATAACAATACAAATTCAGAATCAAACAACATTAACAACAACAGCAGCAGCAGCAGCAATAGCACTACTAGTCCTTTGCATATGCTGTTTCAATCAGTCAGTAGATCATCAGACAATAGATCACCATCACCCTCTGCCACATCTCAGAATGACAACGTCATGAGGTTCTTCCAGGGCATACCATCATCTTCCCCATCGTCAGCAACGACAACAACTGCAAACATCCAACAACAATCAACATCGCCACCAAACTCACAATCAAATACCGTATCTTTTATCGAGAACTCTTTCCAACAAACAACTCAACTTTCATCCTCTGAGGGTATTGACAAACCAAAGTCAACAGGAAAGGCATCTATTGGTGGAGCATTGCTCACAAAGTATGTATAACACAACACTGTCTATTAGTTCTGTATCTCTAATATCTATTTATATATATTTATTTTTGTTTTTAGTTTGAGTCAACAATCCTCCAATGTCATCAGCCATGCCGGTGTCTATCTACATGGCAAGAGTATATCTGTGGACGAAGCACAGCCAATGAAGAAATTGGTCGACCTGGAATCACAACCAATCACTCTGATACCTTCAACAATCAGGTACCTGTGGGGCTCACTGATCTCTGTCAATGACAACTTTATCTGCTACGTCGTCAAGAATGAGAAGATTAGAGTGTTGCAACGGTCGTCCATACAACGTGCGCTCATCAAGGACATTCATGGAATAGTCACGGACATCCAGTTCATTGACGACAAAGTTGATCTACTATCCTGCACAACCGAGAATGGAATCGTCTACATCTTTGACATTGGGGCGACAAGCTCCACCATCAACCCCCAGCTTCTGTATCAGTACAAAATCGCGCCAAACTCCAACGAGGAACAAAAACCACTACTCACACCAAAGGTCTGCTGGTCGCCAGAGGCGTCACGCTCCAACATTTCTTTCACCGTTGCTGGTGGAGGACTCTCCTCTCTCATGGTCTTTGGACCAGAGTCAACGAGCACTGGTCGCTGGAATCACATAACACTAGCCTCTTCCTCAAACACCATCGGCTATGACGCAAGCGGCAAGCGTCTAGTCTACGGTACGGAGGGTGGAGTGGTTGGTGTGTACGACCTTTCGCAGAACAGGACAGAGTCAGAGCACACCTATAGCTCGATGGTCACGTTTGTGTCATTCATTGATGACAAGAAGTTGTTGGTGGGACTTGATAACAACAGGGAGATACATGTTGTGTCGCTTCCAAAGTTTGAAACCATCCAGACGCTTCGAATCATCAATGGCACCATGACCCAGTCATTGATGGCACCAATCATACTAGCCTATAAGGATTCATTCTTGTTTGCCATATACACCACCTGCTCAAGGGGCTACATTCTGCACGTGGAGTCCGAGTCGACGAGCTCAACACACTTTGACTACATCTCAGAGTTTGATCTGAAGAAGCCATTGCTCAGCTTCACAGTGCGTCCAGCCATCCTGGACTCAAAGCCATCTGGTTCCACACAGTTGGGCGCCGCCGAGGAGGAGCGCAAGGACAAGAAGTTCAACTTCTTTAGTGTTCAGGATCATGCCGTCAACTTCCACTCAATCATAGAGTCGGCCATCTATTTACCAACCGACTCTTATTCAACCGATGACTCTACGATCACACAGACCGGAAGCATTGGTCAACAATCAAGTCTATCTTCATCCGGATCAATTAATAGGTCTGCTGCCCCTCAACAGGTCAGTTCAATCGATGAAGAACTATTGACCCCAGGCAAGCTATTTGTACCATCATCTCCACCACCTCTATCACTACCGGATCCAAGTCTGCTCACAGTCGAACAACAACTCGACAGTACCGATGGCCAAGTTCCCCAACAACAACAAAAGACCATCTCTACCAAGTCACTGAACAAAAATGGCAAGGTGTCCTTGAACTCTGCAGAAGCTCTTCTTCCAGTTGCAGACATCACCAACCCTGAACCCTTGTTGAGTCCAAGTGCCATTCTACAGCAACAGCAGCAGCAGCAACCAAATGAACTGAAAACACAATCACCAACACCAACCAGACAAGACAAGTCTGTTGTTTCCACTTCACCAAAGCCAGCACCAAAGTCACAGACACCATCCAAGACCAAAGTCAATGTTACGCCTTTGTTTAAGCAAGCCACCATCAACATTCCATCCACAGCAGCACCGACAACAACGACTTCCACCAATCAAGTAGCAGCAACACAACCATCCCCTCCACTACCAACCTCCACGACACCATCAAATGGACAGCCTGAAACATCTCCACTCTCGACGCACGACAACTCACCTCCAACATCGAGCCTTACTGGATCATCAGATGTCCTCCTCCAACAACAAGGAATCCGTTCGGACCAGCTGGTCAGTTCACTGCAGGCTACGATCCACAACACAGTCAAGGCAGTGCTCAAAAAGGAGTTGGCACCAATCATTGAGAAGGGAATAGCCACGTCACAGGAGGCTCTGATGGCCAAGACCACTCAAGAGGTGATGAAAAAGGTGACTGCCAAATCTGACGCTGCATTGAAGACCTCTGTCGATTCGATAAGTTCCCAACTCAAAGCAACAATCAATGAGTCTGTATCTGCCACTGTCAAGCCAATGGTCGAGACCATCTTTATGAACTACTTCCAGACAGTCCTGGTGCCAGGCTTTGAGAAGAGTTGCAACCTGATGTTCAAGCATCTCAGCGCTTCGTTTGAGAAAGGCATGACCGAGTCGATTCAGTCCCAATCGACTAGCACACAGACTCAGCTGCAGTCCATCAAGACACTGACAGACCAGCTGAAGCAAGAGAGAGAAGCACACGATCAGGAAATCACCAGTTTGACCAAGAAGCAACAAGATCTCCAGAGTGATATGAAGTACATGATGTCATACCTTGGTCTTCCACCACCCCCATCAGCAGCAGGTGCCGGTCTCGTACACCCAACACCAACACCTCAATCACCAATCAATGGTATCTCTGCCCCACCCCAACATGCTTCACTCATGAACAATATCTATATGCAACACCAACAACAACAACAACAACAGCAACAAAGACAATTCTTCTCACCACAAGCAACAGTGGTGCTACCTGTAGCACCACAGCGTCCAAGACTTCAGGCCTATCCCGATCTGAAATCAATGGTGGACAGCGGAAACTATGTCGGAGCATTCAACCAAGCACTCAATGCCTCCAATGTGGCAATGGTTGCCGATCTCTGTGCCTCACTGGACACATCGGACATCTTTTCACAGCAGCATGCCAAGGTGCTACCCAACGCAACCACACTCTCATTGATTCACCAACTATCGCACGACCTCTCTACCGATGTGGACCTCAAACTCAAGTGGATCAAGGAGGCCCTTGGACAATTGGATTCATCTGATCAGGCCATAATGAGTGTTATTGCTCGTGTGATGAATGGTCTCAAGCAAAAGATTGAACATCACCCATCTCTCTCCTCAAAGGACTACTACACCCAACCAATACTTGCTTCAGTCCGTTACATCCTTAGTTCCGTTGGACACTGATCAGTGATCCCCCATGACAACAACTTTGCTACTTCAATTAAATAAACAAACAACACCCCCCATAATCGATTTATTTGAATTATTTGGTTGATGGATGGACCTTTCAAACCAAAAGTAAAGGGTGCAACTCTCTATTACTATTGTTATCATCATGAAGATGTACTTATACAATAAAAGCGAGAGAGATGATGGAATTTACAACATTAGATGATGGATTCAGATTTCCTCGCATTATTAATGGCATGTGGCAGGTATCAGGTGGTCATGGCAAAATAAACTACAAGAATGCTCTTAATGATGTTTGTATCATAGACAGACAAACTGGTGGATCAACAGGCATCTTGAACTGACAACTATCTATCTATGATATATATATATAGATTGTTGAGTATATATCAAGTGGACTGAATACATTTGATATGGCCGATCATTATGGACCATCAGAGGAACTGTTTGGTGAGGTTATCACACAGGTACGAAGCGGGCGTGTCAAGTTGGACCCAAACAATAGTATGTCCAACCATCCATCATCCATCAATCCATCCGATCGATCATTCATACATACATACTTTAACAATCACTAACACCATACTTCTCAGTACATGGTTTCACCAAGTGGTTCCCACCTCCAGGATCAGTAACACAGGACATGACAACCAAGGCAGTAAAGAAGGCAATGGCTGCGATGAAGGTGGACAGATTGGATCTTCTTCAGTTCCATTGGTGGGACTATGACGATGAGAGATACATGGATGCATTGGCATATCTCAAGGTGTTACAGTGTCAAAGTCAACCCGTCATCAGACACATAGGTGTATGTAATTACAACAGTATTTGCGTGAAGGAGCATGTCTAACAACAACATAATCAACACTATATAGTTGACCAACTTTGATACAATCAGAGTGCAAAGAATTGTAAATAGTGGTATTAAGATTGCGACGAACCAAGTGTCCTATTCAATCATTGATAGACGTGTCGAGAAGAAGATGTCCATCTATTGTAAAGAGAAGAGTATTTATATTATAGCCTATGGTGTATGTCTTGGTGGACTAATATCAGAGAAGTAAGTGTAATCACATCGTCATCGTCTTGTTCATCATCATAATGCCATTACTAAACAACACTATTTCATAGATTCCTTGGCGTACCAGATCCATCACAGGTAGCTCTAAACACTTGGAGTCTGACAAAGTATCGTAACTTTGTAGAGAGATGGGGTGGATGGCGAATGTTCCAGGATCTATTGGAGGTACTGAAAAGAGTGGGCAACAAACATGGCGTTTCATTGACGATGGTGGCAATTCGATTCATTCTGGATCAGACTCAGGTGGGCGGTGCTGTCATTGGTTGTCGATGGGGAATCACCAAACACAAGGATGAATTGGTCAAAGATCTATACTCTTTTAAGTTGGACAGTGATGACTATAAGCAAATCAATAATGCTGCCAACAAAGGTGATACAATGCTTGGATGGAAGGATTGTGGTGACGAATACAGATAACTATCTATTATTTGTATACTATTTTTGTCATTATTATTCCCCAAAAGTAATTCAAGGATTGTGTTTGGACGATCACAAAGCCAAAACAATGAATGGGGTTTTTTGATCAACAAAACCATGTGGATTTTGGTCTTCAATCATTCATCCAATAACTTTGACATATACAAATAATAATGAAGAAAGTTATAAAGAGGAGAGTGGCCTCTAGTTTATTAAAGTTTAGTCCAAGGTCAATAGTTACAACATATGGACCAAGGTCTAATGACCCACTTCCAGTACAACTTCAAAAGTACCTAATTTCTTATCTATGGTCATTACTTCATTACAAAGAAGTAAAGGAGGACACAAGATTCCTTCTATCTTTGGCGTTGGTCTCCAAGAGATGGCTCGAATGGACAGCTGACATTCTTGGTCAACATGCCGAGGTGACCGATGATCAACTCACAGACAGCGCCTTTCTCAAGCACCTAGCCAAGAGACAACCAGGAGTACCTGTACCCAACTACTCACTGCGAAACTTTAACAAGTTTGTCGCTCACAAGTATATACCAATCAAGTTTGCCAACAACAAGCAACGTGACACTCTGAGAACATTGCTCTTTGGACGTTTGGAACACATCGAGTGCGATATATCCAACAAACCAATACCAAAGAACTACTTTGATCAGATCGTTGATGGTTTGATAAAGACCGGATGTAATCTTACGACGTTCACCTATAGGAACATGTCAGAGTCGTTGGCACCGACACTGAACTGTCTGGATTTGGTTTCCAAGAGTCTTACTTCACTATCGATCAACACCACCAATCTCGACTCGAGCTCATCAACGATTGCCTCCTTTATCAAGAGTCGGGCACCAACACTACGAACTCTTCTCATCTCTACGTTCTATCAGGACGCACCACAGCCCCACTTCTATTTGGACCTCTTCTCCACCAAGTACCCAGAGTTGACTACCATTCACTTTGGTGTGGTCTCTCATACTGACACCACAATCTTGAGTGGACTGAGTAGTACAAACTTTCCAAAGCTTCAAGACATTGGTATCTATTGGACCAGCATGTCAGTTCAGGAGTACAGTCAAGAGTTTATCAAATTCCTATCTGATCCTCCATTCAAACGACTAAACACCACGCTTAGTCTCACTCCACTGATGGTAACACAACTGGCACACAACAAGACAATCGAGAAGTGGAAATTCAGAGTGAACCGCACCTATCCAGATATTCAATTCAACAGTGCCATCAGAACATTGTCCTTGAACTTCACCTCGAGATTCAATGAGGAGATTGACCAAACAGCTGCAGCCAACTTTGTTACGATGCTTTTGACCAACATCTCACAACAGTGTCTCCAACTTAGACACCTCTCGATTTGGGGTCTACTACCGGTGCACTTCCAATCGTTTATCAACTTTTTAAGATCACCTCTTGGCAGTCAGTTGGAGCGAATTGGATTCTCATCCCAAAGATCAATGGTAGCTCACATTGACTATAGTGTTGTCATACGAGAGCTATCTATGATGACCAATCTCCTAAAGCTTGAGGTCAATGATGTGGCTAGTGGGGAACATGTCGACCAAATTGAGGCCATCATGGAACAGTCATCAAATATCCAAAAGGTGAATCTATACTACTCCTCACAACTTACTTCTCCATTCGGTTTGTCCTCAAATGATCAATTGGATGTTATTTATAAACCAAATAAATAATTAAATTTATTGTATATATAAAATAAAAAATATATTTCATTTTTTAGTCTCGTTGTTCTTTTAATTTTTTCCCTTTGTTTAAATGCCTATCTGGATAAGAGTCGCGTAGCTGATTCAGTTTATTTATCCCGATAACTATACAATTGTTTTGGTTTTTTGGACATTGTTCTGGTTGGGTCCACTGGCCTTTATGTTGTCGGCAGGTGGTATAAGCATTGGTTTGGATTGTTGCCGACGCGTTCTTATGCGTTGGTTTCAGTGATTATATACATATGATTATTATTATTTTTTTTTCCCTTTTTTCTTTCCCCTACTAAATACGATTTAAAATTTTTTGGGCGCATGAATGCTCTGTCATCTAAGGGTTAGGATCCAGGACTCTGAATCCTGTCATCTGAGTTCGAATCTCAGCAGGGCAACATCTTTTGAAAAATAAAGGATAATCGAACTTCGAAAGAGGGAAAAGTCAGGACTGGAGGAAGAGCTATCGTACAGGTTCCTGGACATGATTAACTCAGATGTCCTGCTCCCCGGTGTTGCCAATTCCAACTCCTCCTCCGATAAGAGGTTCAAAAGAAGTAACAAATCAATTACGTTCGAATTATAATGGACAACACATAACTTTATCTATTCTTCTCTTCAAGCATACCCTTTATACCATCGACGTGCATAGCACCAACGACAGCCAGCACTCTGTTGCCCTTGGAGGATAGGATTGATTTGGTGATGGACCTCTCACGATCCAACAAAAATGCATCGTATGTCATTGGCAACGAACGTTGGAATGTTGATCTTATCTCTTGTAGATTGGCATTGGTCAACACCTTTTTGAATGCACTCTCCAACTCTTCCTCTGTGACTGCTGGTTTGCTCAGCTCCTCCACCAGTGGTGCCAATATATCGTTGACCCTAGACCAATCTGCCATTTTAGATTGGTCCATCTTCATGTTGGATGCCATGTTCATGATATTTGCCATGTTGAGTGCACCAAGTCCTCCCATCATTGATCCGCCAACCATTGGTAGCAACTCTGTCTTTAGGCTCTGTGCTAAATTACTCATTGTTTCCTATTAAATAGAGAAGAGTCAGTTAGTCTTGGATCGTACGAACGTGTTGAAGCATCGCCACATGTTCTTACATTAACTGGAAGATCACCTAATACAATGTTTGCCTTTAGTGCATCAGCCTCGTTGATGGCAAACTTGAACTCAAGACCAGGAACAATACCCATCACTCTAAATGTATTGTAATAGTTCTTGATCAATATCTAATAATAACAACAACAACAAAAACAACCAATATGTTAGAAAGAGAACAGTAAACTTGTCAACAACAAGATATACATACATTAAGAATATTACCGGCATTGAGTTGACCTGATCTTAGTCCAGCCATTATCTCTGCGAATATACTGGTCAGTGGTTTAGACTGTTGGTATGGCTCAATGTTGCGAACATTCTGTTCAGACTTTAACTTGTCGAATCGTGATTGACACAGCTCCAGTACTACAGTGTCGGGCTTTACATCGCGAATGAACTGCTTGACCTGCTCAGCACTGCGCTTTGAGATGTGTGCTGTGCCAATGACAAAGACATCCTTGTTTGAATGTAGGTCTCTATGATAGAATATTGGATCATCATTGACATTACGTGACAATGATGTAGTTGAATATTTGTTGTTGTATTTGTTGTTGTAGTTGTTGTGAAGGGAAACAACATTGATATGTTGTCGGCATAATAAGAACCTCGGTGTTGTTTGACCAAGGTATCTAATCGGAGAAGTTATCATTGTTTGTGTGTGTGTGTGATCGGGTGATTTGATGTAAATGATCAAATTAATCAAAATTAACCGTTTTGGAGCCCTCTAATGATTTTTCAAATGAGAAAAATGAATCAAAAGTCACCAAAGATAACTTTGACACTGTCATTGACAAACACTGAAACATGTACAGATATATATACTACATTACAACATTATTGTTAATTATAACAATACTATCAAAACAAGTCACATCTGACAATGGTATGTATTTATTTAGCAGCTTTAAAATGCTCCACCACTTGGTATTAACATGTTAATACAATTCATCGTCCACAAGTGAATTGTATTTGGCAAGCCAATGGTAACTGTGTCAATGCAGCCTATCCATGCTCATTGACTGACCCATCAAACTGGGTGGGTGGCGTTGCCCCAGTTCCTGGATCATCGGATAACTACACTCTCGATATCGACGCCACAATCTCATCACCTCAGTACATAATGATGAACCAAACGTTTGGTGCCCAACAGATCCAGTTGCTAAACATAACCGGTGGTGCTCAGTTTGTGATCAAGGGTATTGCCGACATAGAAACCATCAACCAGACCATAGTGGTCAACTCCCAGATCAATGTCTACTCCAACGCCTCGTTTGGCGATGTCTCTCTGACCAACTCGACATTATCCGTCGTCCAGGAGTCTGTTACACTCAATGGCTACATCGCTTTTGACATCAACTCCCACGTGTTGGCCCAAAACAATGCACAGGTCACTGTAAATGGTCCTGGCAACGTACTCTGCCAGCTACAGTTCAACGATCAGTCCACTCTGGTATTGCAGAATGGTAATGACCTCGTCTATCTCAAAGGCGGACTGTTGAGCACCAACATGGTCGTGGTGACCGAGAACACCACCATCATACTGGAGGGTGTATCCACTCTGAGCAATCTCAACGGCCAGAGTGGAGTGATAAGGCTCAACCCAGGTTCAGACCTTATTGTCAATGGACCATCCGTCCAGGTGGCCAGCTCCATATTGCTGTCACCAGGTAGTAACCTATTGCTCAATGGTACCAACACTGCCAACATTGCTACACTGACTCTATCGGACGAAACCTCATCGGCCACCCTTATCTCTGTCCAGGTGTCTGTTGGATCGCTGTACTCTGACGGTGGACTTACTGTGCAATCGAGCAACTTTGTCACCACCCAGCCAAGTACCGTCGCCCAGATCACATTACTAAGCGGCACAACGTTGCAATCGATGGCCAACATCACAATCCAAGATCTGATCATCAATGGCAGCAATGTTGAGCTGATCTTTGGTGGAGGTTCAGCCTTTGTCGGTCAAAAGACACAACAGCACACTGGTCCATCGGCAGACTTTGACATCACCGTCGCCAAGGCGGCACAGTTCACTTCGACCACCAATCTTAACGTGAGCAATGGTGAGATCATTGTCTATGGCTACGTTGTCTTTGAAAAGTCTGTCACTGCATCCAACGTCACATTGCAGGATACAGAGAGCAGTGTCACGGCCACGACAAGCGAGATTAATGCCAGCGTGATCATTATCGCCGGTCAGCTGTACTACTCACCCAATCAGCCACTGTCCATCAGCGGATCATTGTCTATCCATACCGGAGAGTTTGTCACTGCACAGACCATCAATGTCGGTGGATCCCTAAACCTGGGCATTATGACACTGCAGATCATTGGCAGTGGCAAGGTCCAAGTGCAGTCCAATCTGCTGCTGTCGCCAGACACCAACATCATCTACGAGACCACGATTCAACCAGGTGTAGGCAATGGCGCACCAATTGAGGTGCAGGGCACCGTCCAGTTGGCTGGAAACATCAACGTTGTGTTTACACCAAGCGACTACTCCGCCAAATATGTGATCGTGCAGTCTCAGAGCCAGATCACAGGATCGTTTGCCAAGTTGATGGTGCCAGACGCCTCCTATCAATCGAGGGTGTCCATCACCAACGGACAGCCACCCAACTATGTACTGGTCACATTCAAGCAACCATCTCAACAGATGGCCGGTTGGAAGATTGGTCTCATTGTCATTGGCATTATGTTTGGTATTCTACTTGCTGGTTTTGGATTCTTGTATTATAAGAGACATGATGGATATCTTAGACTTAACAACTAAATGAAGTAGGTAGTAGTAGTACTACTACTATCCAGTCTATTACCCGCCGAGGATTAATTAAACAATAAATGATAAAGTGGTCGACAATATATATATATATTATCATCTTTATTCCTTTCCACCAAATGATCTAATGAGAGCTTCAAGATTTGTGAATCCCTTCTCGATGGCCCATGTCAAGGCGGTCTTCTTGTGGTTGGCATCTGGGATGTTGGGATCGGCTCCAGCCTCGAGGAGTGCACGTGCGATCTGTTGGTAGAGCTCACTGTCATTGTCATAGTAGACTACCTCGATAAGGGCCGTCCAGCCAAGACGGTTCATGTGGTTGACGTCCTCACGACCATCGGCCAACAGCACACGTACATTCTCCAAATGACCCTTCTCACTGGCGGGGATGATACAGTTGCCACCGTATCTGTTGAACACCTTGTAGTTGATATCGGTCCTCTTGAGCATCAACTTGAGAATCTCTGTCTTGCCGTGAGCGCCAACAAACAGATAGGGTGAGTCTTGAATGGCGTCCTGCTTGTTGATATCGGCACCGGCGTCCATGAGCAAAGCGGCCAACTCTACATTGTAGTTGTGACAGGCTACCATCAATGGAGTCTCTTTCTTCTCGTTGAGTTCATCTACAACACAGCCTGGTGTTGCCAACAACTGTTTAACCAGCTCTACCTTGCCACTCTCTACTGCTGTTAATAAACTACCTGATTGATACTCCATATCTATATTTGTTTGTTATCTATTAATCCGACGAAGATGATGTTCGGAACTGAATGAACGACACATGTCATAGGTCATATCTTATTGTTAATGTCTCTGTCGGGTTTGATTGGGACCACCATACACAAAGATATTTATGTTTCAAAGACAAGTCTACACAAATAATCATAGCTTTTTTTCAACAAACAAAGATGACTTCCCCTGGGTGAGTGAACACTCTCATAACGAAACTAATCAATCTTTGAATGAACATACATCATATATATTGTCCAGTTAGTTCAAGTCGTTGTGTATTTAATTTCATTTCGATTATTTGGAATTTTTCAAATTAATTTGGAAGTTCACTCATATGGTAGGGTGATCGAGGCTTTCATTCATTCATTCATTCATTCATTCAATGATATTGGATGTTTCAAGTGAGGTAATGGATAATAGATATTGATTGAAATAGCTTTGCTTTACGGGCACTGTTTATTATCTATTGTAGCACTTGTGACACCAGTTGAGTATTGTAGTAGGATCGCTAGAATACTTGTTGAACGCGTTTTTGATTGTGTCGAGGAAGGATGCAGTTCTGTTCTTATCTCGGCACTCTCTCTTCATCATCGCGAACAACAGTTCGATGATGTTGAGCTCAGGGCTATAGGTTGGCAAGAACACCAACTTGACATTGATCAAATCAAGCATCTCCTGGATGAGAGGGAGGCGGTCCCTCTGTGTGTGGATACTGGCATTGTCGAGCACGATGTAGGTATTGGGTCGGATGTAGTCAGCCTCCATGGCATTGATGATGAATGAGCAGAAGGTGATGCTGTTGTTGGTGTCACCCTCAGTATGGTCCTTCATCCTCGCGTAGGATCCGTGGTGGATTGAGATCATGGCCATCAACGAGAAGGACTCCCTGAAGGACTCTCTGTTGACGCGAATGGGTTGCACTCTGCCTCTAGGGGCCAACAGCTTTCTCTTCCAACACTCTATTATTCGACATTGAACAAACATATTAGCGACAGCATAATAGTGCAGTGTTTGTTTGAGTTGTAAGACTTACTCTTGGACTCAAAGGTAGATTCATCAAGCCAGTAAACAGAATCAAGATCGACTTGGCTGATCCAATGACAGAAGTAGACATATCTCTCTAGGTTCTCCAAGGTGAACTTCTGATGCTGGACTGTGATTGGCACCTTCCACGAGAACATCAGGTGTTCTGAGATGACGTTTCGTATGTATGATCTGCTGAACTGGATGTCCTCGACCTGAGTGTTGACATGGTCAACTATCTCTTTGAGACTCTCTGGTTGCGCCTCGAGTATGTATCTATGGAGGAAATCCTTCAGCTGCTCAAACCTGACATCATCAAGCAGAGAGTATCGTTTTCCACCATGAAGAAGAGGATGATACGTTCCTTGAGCACTCAATTTCTTGCGGTGATAGTAGATCGACGACTTTGACTGGCGAGTGAGTGATGGGTTGACTTGTATAATATTATTCTGAATAGTGAATGCTGCGGCAACTCCATGTGTGTTTGAGTAAAGTGCTGTAAGCAACTTTGATCGTAGTCTCTGAAGATAATGATGGTGTCCACTTCGAGAGCCTTTGAACTGCTTTCTCATTCTAGTCCTCTCTATTCTTTGTCTATCCATGTCTTGTGTGTGTTAGTAAATGTTGTTGTGAATCAAATGATTCTCAACTGGCACATCAACAGTGCAACCAAAGATCAAATTTCGGCGCCAAAATTTAAAATATCCTACGAGCAGTTCAGAGACGTCCTCATCACAAAACATTCTCTTCATTGTGATCACCTGACATTTACACAGTATACATATAAACAATATACAGATAGACAACGATGTCAAATAAAGAATACGCACCAAAGTACAACCATGATCTCTACAAGGACTATAGAACTAAGCTCGATGGGCTCTTTCCCAATGACGAAAAAGGCAGTGTAGAGTATATAAACGAGGCCATTAGGAAAATTGACGAGGCGGTAGGAATATACTCTTGTGGTGTATGCCATCAACCAGGCAGATGCCGCAATTGTACCAACACTTGTGTAGATTGGTTTTGCTGCTTGCACAAGTCACATGGCCCGATTCTTAGAATGTTCTTGACCAAATACAAGGCCGATTTGTTAAAGGCACTCCGACCCGAATTGGACAAGATAAGAGCGGATGTAGGCGATCTTGGGCAGCTCAAGGCAAGCACCATTGTCAATCACAGCCACTTCCAGATGGCCAAGACGGTCTTAAATGACAAGTAAGTATGTATGATTGACCTTGGACTTTGACACTTTAACTGACATGGTGGTCACAGATCACAGATGATTGTTCTCGACACTCGAAAAGCACCAATCAGTCTCGATGAGGAGCCCGCTCGTCCTGTCAAGAGAGCCAGAAAAGAAGGGCCCCTCGATCTCAATCAGTCAGACTACACCACTGAGGAGCTGAGTTTCCACAAACTCCAGGAGGTTGTGGAGTATTATGAGCACATCGCGCAAATAATGCGCTTCCACATCGAGGAGCATCGCATCGGACTGACACGGCTTGACACGTACCTCCAGATGCTCCAGAGACAAGAGCTTGCTCCCTACATCGGAAAGACTCCAGTGATACATCCAAATCGGACGAATAAACAATGAGCAAGTGTATTTGCCAATTACTATTATCTGTACAAGCTACCTGACTGACTGCATGATGCTGTGTTTTGCAGTGAATTCCAAATTAATTATGAAAATTCCAAATAATCGAAATGAATTGAATTACCCAACGACTTGAACTAACTGGACAATATTGATATACAGATAAAACACACAGATATATTTATATTATAAGCGTATATAACAACAAATAATACACAAACAATAACATAGAATGAAGGAGGAGTTTGCCAAGTTCTTATTATCCAAAGGATACTACCTGACTGCCTTGGAGTTCTATCAGGAGATGCTTGAGGATGATGGTACAGAGATACAAGAGTTGGTCGATCACTTCAAATCTGTAATGTCAATGCCCTCTACACAGGACCCAATAAGAGTTATTAAAGGTAAGGTATCATAATGCATGTTGTTGTTGTTGATAGTCATGATGTTAATATTGATAATCAAACATAGAGAGAAAGAAACAACAACAAACATCATCACCTCCTCAACCAGAGAGTGAAGCGATTAGGAGTAGGGATGACAGGATATCATTGTTGGAGTATGAGTTGAGACAGTCAAGGGATGATATAAAGGAGTTAAAGGATCAGATCAAGAGGAGTAAGCAGACTCCTGTCATATCGGCCAGTGACGTCAAGGTGATAAGTGCTCCATCATCGTCACCAAAGGAGATGGGTGGTGCTGTTCAGTCGGTCGATCAAGTCTCCAAGGACAAGATCAAACCACACGAGAGGAAGATACTAAACTATCTGTTTAGGAGGTACCTCACGACAAACAGCTATCCATTGACATCGGTTACATTCTCTGAAGAGGTAAGAATTCATGTCTTCAATTCAGATGTATAGAGACATGTCTAACATCTACGACTACTACTATTCAGAGTCAGGACAATGCTAGGAACTGGTCAGACCTACAGATGAATCAGGCAGAGCCTCCATCTCTTTTGACCATCTATAGATACTTCTTTGAGAATGGTGACTCTGGAGTACAGGGCGTACTCACAAAGACAATGGGTGAGATCACAAAGCTCAAGAAGGAGATTAGCGACAGTGAGGTACATTGGAGACAGTTGCAAAAGGAACGTGATGATCTGGCACAAAAGAACAAGGACTATGAGAATATCATTGATCATCTCAAGAAGAATCAACTTTCATCCTCCACTCTTGCCTCTACAAGCTTGTCAACTACCACCTCGACAACAACTTCTACAACAACCCCAGCCACAATCACTCAGGCACAGAAACAACAACAACAACAAAAGACAACAACATCAACAGATGATAATCTATCTACGATGCGAATCACCTATCGAGCCCTGGTGGAGAAGCGTAGACAGACAGTGGCCTTCCAGATTGTCTCTAATGATGATGAGTCAGAGGCTAGCATGCGAATTGCAGAGGAGGTGGAGAAGTTGCGTTCACACGGCTCTGATCAACTCAACAAGATGGTGTCAGTCATTGCCAGTTCCCTGCCACACATCCTGCCAGGTGTTTTGCTCAACAAGCGTGAGGAACTGATACCACTGATCCTCATTGTCATCTCTAACCATCCAGAGGAGACCACTCGTTTCTCCCTCACCAAGCTCCTGTTCAATCTAATCAAGAAGCCCAACGAGTTCCAGCGTCACGCCATCATGAAGGGCTGCATGGCATTGGCCTCCATCATTGGACCACAGCGCACAGAGACCGAGATTCTCAGTCAGTGTTGGGAGCAGCTGAGTGAGAAGCACCCAGAGCGTAGAGTGCTCGTGGCTGACTCTTGTGGTTGTCTGGCACAGTTTGCCAGCACAGACCTGCGACTGTCGTTGATTCTTTCAATCCTTCAACAGCTGGGTCAGGACAAGAGTCCCTTGGTGCGTGTTGCCGTCACCAAGAACTTCTCGTTGCTCATCAACTTTTTCGACTCCACCGACAAGTACAACCAAGTGGAGGAGTCCTTCAAGGCATTGCTCTATGACGCTGAGCCCGAAGTGTCCACTGCCACCAGGACTCATTTCCTACCATCACTTGCCAACTGGACCGATCTCCTCGAGGCATTGAATCCAAAGCTTACAACAATGTTACTGTCAGAGATGTACACTACTCTACATGTATGTATATTTATAACGTTCCAACAGGTCATACCATTGGACATAGAGCTAATACATCAAATTTCTTTCAGAAATATGCCAATCAAAAGGAAGAGTTTAAGATTCCAGAGCAAGATGTTATCAAGATTCAGCATTTAGTGGCTTGCTTCATTGATATTATTCCAAGGATACACCAATCAATGATATCATCATCACCTCTTATAACTGTATGTCTAAAGAAATGAATATGATTGTATAACGTTGTACTAATCAGATTAATAATAATAGGAAAAGGATGCCAAGATCATAGAGGCAGAGTATGACAGACAAGAAGCACTCTATCAATATCAATTGAATGAGACCAGACTAAAGCAGATACATTCCACTGGTAGTGATGTCAACAACAACAACAAAAACTCAACCACTGCTGCTACCAATGCTGTGGATCCTGCTGCAGCATCATCATCATCTTCATCCTCAACAACATTGTCATCAATCACAAACTCAATTCGAATGTCTATACTTGGCAAACAAGAGGTTGCCAAACTACATGCTCAGTTTGATCAATATCTACTGTCATTGGTCTCCAACGATATGTCATCGTCCAAGTGGCCAGCATTAGAGTGGCTATGCACAGAGTTTATCACCAAGTTGCTCAGCATCATCTATTGCATACCACTGAGGAACTCCCGACTGGTCACATCATTCTCCAAGGCACTCAACACTCTATGCACAGAGTTTGGACATGTGTTTACAAAGAGGATCATCAACAATGCATTCCACAAGGAGCTCCAAAAGGATAACAGAGCCAGTATGTACATCCATACTTTGCTATTATGGACTGCGCTAACATTCACTTTACAAACAGCACAACCAAAGAAGTATAGACTTTTACCATTCTTTACAGCAGGTGTACTGACATCGTTAGAGTCAGCAGAGTTGAACACCTTTTTGAGCGATATCATTGTTCAAATCTCAATCGAGGAGAGAGGATGGGATCATAGTCACATTCCATCGCTGGTCAAGTGTATAGAGTTACTGTGTGGCAATGACATTGACAAGAAGAAGGAGATTGGTGATGTACTATCAAACTTGACATCAAACCCATCCAATCAAGTTAGATCATGTATTCTTAACCTTTATAAGGTCATTGTAAGTCAAAACTTTAATAACAAACACCGCTTCAACCTACATATACTAATTACAATATATATATGTATAGATGCCAGTGTTCAATGCACAACAGATTGCCAACTCGATTGTACCATCAATGATCACAATGAGTACTGATCCAGATCGTCCAGTACGTATTGTTTGCATTGGTGCACTATCGATTGCATTGGCCCAGATCAACGATGATTCAATCCTGGAAAAGATTGCCATTGCATTCGAAAGGATATTGGATGACAAGAATCATATGATCGAAGTGGAGTTTGTCCAATCCATTTCAAAGGTGATCCCAACTGCAAAGCCAAGATATAGAGACTCTTGTATGTACATTTACTAGTTTATGAATATCAATTATAATACTAACCATACCAACATCAAAATCATATAGTTATTCTCCCAAAGATTGTAGAGTTTGTAAGAAGAAACAGCAATAATCCTTCGAATGAGAACAGGAAGGAGATGTCACAGTGTCTGTTTGATGCTCTGAGAGCATTCATGTCAGTGTCCAATCTGGCAAAGGACTTGATCCAGGAGCAGATTCTACCAGCACTCAAATCGTTGCAGAATGATTCTCCGCTGCACGACCCCTCATTCAAATCCATGGTGGTATCGATGATTAACGATGTGGAGACATTGATCAAGGATGACATTAGAAATCAAACCAAGAGGAACACTGCAAAGCCTGCTGCCACCACCACAACTTCCACCAATCCACTGGACAAGATGTCAAATCTTACAAACTGGGCATGGAAGAAGGATCCATCAACTAAATGATGATCTATCTGCCAACCATACATAATAATAATAATCCAAAGTATAATAATACCATTCAATCATATATGATTATAATCATACTCCAATGGTTTGATTGTAGGGTATATAAGATTCCTTTACTCTTCAGAATCATATTCACTCTGCTTAACCTTGACAGCCAAGAATAGATGTACTCTCCTATTGAATACACGTTCCAGATCCTTTTTAGCCTCGAGATAGATTGACTTGATGGTGACACCATCCTTCCCCAGGATTGTAGACTTGTGAGAGTTCTTCTTGACGATGAGATCCTGATCGATTCTCAAATCACCATTGTTGAACTTTGTCCATCCAATAGTGTTCTGAGTCACCTCATAAGGTATCTCCTGTCTCAACTTTTCATACATCTTTTCTTTGATTATCTCTGATGCTCTGAATATATCTGTTTGATCGGTTTTCTACAAAAGTATTGGATGTAAGTAAGTTTAAATGGTCGCGATCACTACGCAGTGAAGTATATAATATTACACAACACATACCAACTCATCATTAAACTCCCATTTCCCATCCATTGCTTTGGTCAATAGGAAATCGGTTAGAGTGTTGACATGGATACCATTGGTGGCCGACGTCAAAAAGGTGTCACTAAAGATATTGCTCTCGTTCAACTTTGATATCATTTCCAGTAGGTCCTCACGTTCAGTGACCAGATCCACTTTGTTGATCACCAATATGAACTCCTTGGTGGCACTCTGTTGATTGTAATCCTTCATCTCCTTTAACAACTCGATCATCTGTCTCTCCAACTGTACAAGAATATGATTGGTGTCTCCTTGATTATCGTGTGAGGCATCGACCACCAACAACACGAGATCAGACTCTTTTACGACGCTCCATGCCAGATTGACAAACTCTCTGATCTTTGACTTTCGCTCAAAGTGCTGCATGATACCAGGTGTGTCGTGAAACACAATCTGTGTCTTGTCCTTTGTAAAGATGCCAATGATATCGTCTCTTGTAGTATGCTCACGACTTGACACTGCACACACCTTCTCACCAACAATCGTGTTGACCAATGATGACTTGCCAGCATTCGGTGCTCCAATCACTGCAACATTCAATCTCTTTTGTCCCTCCATTGATGGTGGTTCCTTCATTGTAAGGTCTACCTCTGCATAGTCTATTGAATTATGATGGTGGTGATGCATTAGAGTAGTGTATTACAGAACATGTTGCACCTCTAGACATACCAGGTGGTGTAATATTATAGTTCCTAACAGATCTTTTATACTTTGGAGGGTTCTGTATCTGTGCTCTCTCCTTTAGCAACTGTTGTTGATACTCTAACTCCTCAAGCATGTGTCTCTTTGGATCAGTGTTTGGTGTGTACTTCTTCATGATGACCATCATCGATCTGCTTGGTATATACATTGCATTGTTGCTGTTGGACGCTGTCACCAACATCGTACTACTCGATGATGGTCCTCTTGTTGACCACCATAATAGTGCTCTATTACATTTAGATAACATATTCATTGCTTGAGATGTTTAAAGAATGATTGAAACTAAATAAACGAACGACAAAACTCTAAAAACTGTATTTGTGTGTTGTCCAAAATCAAGTGAGCTCAATCAAAGTTGACAGTGTGCTCTGGTGCTGTGTTATTTATTTGTTACTGTTGTTGATGTTGGTGGGCCTTTAGAAGTATTATTGAGTACTCAATAATTTTCCAAGTGTCTAAACAATCTTGGAATATCATCAATCATGAATATCAATGCTTAATCTTTATAGAATAGAGAATAGTAACCAGTTTGTTTCAAACAATTAGAACTCTTATCTGTAACACTCCCTAAATGATCATTTCCTGGTCATGTGATAGGCAAAGATAACAAGCATATGTGTTATGTGTGATAGAGTCATAATGATTGATTCAAGTTCAAATAAGTAGAACCAGTGTTCAACCACTACTTTGTTCAATTTCATAGCTTGATGTCTTTGTCTATGGATGACGAACACAATGACCAGCACCATAAATTTGTTTTAAAATTTTAAGCCAACAACAGTAATCAATCATCACAAAATTCCTAAAATGGAATGAAATGAAATTGCCGGCTCTAATCCACCCAAAGACAACAACAACATCCGAATCGTAACTGCACCAATCCTCTTCTCTCATAGACATATATCGATGAACCCGTACCACCCTCTCACATGTCTACCATAGCACACAATATAACAAATAATAATAATACTTACACATAGATACATACATACAAATAAGTGTTAACTCACCAACTATTAATTAATTACTTACTTTTCACCCACACACACGCACCACAAACACACATTGCGATTGCAGCTTCATCTTCAACTTCAACCACCATCGTGCAAACTTCACCATCTTATCTTATATCTCCCTTATTTCAACACGAATTATAACAACAACTAAACTATCTATCTATAGTAGTAGTAATAGAAAATGGAACAAACAGAGACAAGAATAAGATCAATACTCAGTCATTTGACTCCAACCTCTTTGTTGGAGACCGTCAACACTAGTGCTGTTGCCGCTGCCGACACCAACCAAACTGCCGCTGCCGTCTCTGCTCCACCAATCATTGACAAGCAACGCACCCAGATTTCAAAGTGGGATAAGGATGAGTTCCGCGACTTCCTCGAGGTCAACGCTGCCTACAAGCCAGTCAGAGCCAAACTCAATGAGTTGTTGAGAGATCCCCTCTTTGCACCAGTCTACAACATGACAGTCGAGCAATGGAGAGAGTTGACTCTGCAAAGAGCAGTCAAGGTCATCAGATCAGGACTAATCTCTATCTCTGAGTTTAACAGGTAGGTTATAATTCACAGATCAGAGTACAACAATGTTGTACTAACCAACCACTACTACCTATTGTAGGGACCCAATGAAATACTTGATCTCGATGGAGACCATTAATATGTCAGACTCTTCATTGTCTGTGAAGCTTGGAGTGCACTTTTCGTTGTTTGGAAACGCAGTTCTCAACCTTGGCACTGAGAAGCATCACCTCAAATACCTCAAGGACATTGATACCTGGAAGCTTCCAGGTTGTTTTGGTATGACCGAGTTGGGTCACGGTTCAAACGTGCAGGGTGTAGAGACCACTGCCACCTACGACAAGGATACCCAAGAGTTTATCATCAACACTCCATCAGACTCTGCACAAAAGTTCTGGATTGGTAATGCTGCTCGTATGTGTTTCATAAACAACAACAACAACAACAAAAACAACAACGATCAATCTAACATCATCAATAATGTAATGTAGTGCATGGTCAAGCTTGTTCAGTATTTGCTCAACTCTATATTGGAGGAGTACACTATGGTGTACATGTATTTGTTGTTCCCATCCGTAATCCAGACGGTAGCATTGCCGAGAGTAAGTCATTCAAAAACTAAATAGTGTAGAGAATAGTATATCTAACCAATCATTCTAATATTAGATGTAAGAATAATGGACAATGGTCACAAGTTGGGCCTTCAAGGTGTAGACAATGGTAGAATATGGTTCAACAACAAGAGAATCCCAAGGGATAATCTGTTGAATAAGTTTGGTGATGTTCAGCCCGATGGCACCTACGTCACCTCGATCCCAAGCAAGACCAAGCGATTCGGATCAATGGTTGCTCCATTGGTCGGAGGTAGAGTGCTCATTGCCTCGTCAGCCCTCTACGCAACAAAAATGGCTTTGATAATTGCCACACGTTTCGCCACCAACCGACGACAGTTTGGAAACAAGAACCAAGAGATACCAATCATCCAATACCTCACCCATCAACGTCGCCTCTTCCCCTTGATCGCTGCCACAGTTGCCTACAACTTCCCAATCAACCACCTCAAGCTGATCTACTGTGAGCCAAACAAGACCGCTCAGAACGTCAAGGATGTCCACGTGTGGGCCTCTGGTATCAAGGCCGTCGTCACCTGGCACAAGACTCATACCCTGCAGACTGTACGTGAGTGCTGTGGAGGCCAGGGATTCAGTTCATTCAATCAGATCCCAGCTCTCAAGTCTGATCTCGAGATTGATATGACCTACGAGGGAGACAATCACGTCCTCCTCCAACAGGTATCCAGATACCTCTTGGTAGAGCTCCAAAAGGGAAGATATAACGTAACTTTGTCAAACCATGGTTCAAAGGTAAGTAGCACATGTATATATATTTTAATGTACATCATCATCATCTTATTAACAATATATCTATATATAATCTAATAGATTTACAATGCCGACTTCCAATTGCACTGCCTCAAGTGGAAGGAGAGCCACTTGGTTCAGACTCTGTCCACCAAGATCATGACCGCTCTCGACCAAGGTAGAGGATTGGAGTACAGCTGGAATGATAACTTGGATCTGGTCACTGCCTTGGGTAAGGCACATATTGAGAGAATCACCCTTGAGACATTCCAGGCATCGATCAAGAAGGCCAGTCTCAACATCCAACCAGCATTGGAGCTCTGTAGAAACCTGTTCTTCTCAACAAAGGTTGTTGATGACCTTGGGTAAGTGACTACTACATCGACAACATTCATTGACAATGAGTACGCTGACAACCCTCAACCTTTACAGATTCTACCTGTGCAATGATGGAATGACTCAAGAGACGGCAGTGAAGGTTCAGGAAAGCATCAACCTCCTCTGTGGAGATATGCTACCACACGCTTTGGATCTGGTGAACTCATTCGATGTCCCAGAGCAATACATACATGCACCAATCGCCAAGGCCGACTATATCCAAGAGTTTAGATATGGTCTTCAGAGGAAATATTGAGTGATGCACAACATGGACAGAGAGGCAAAGCGACCAAACAACAACGATCTACAACATCCACAACAACAACAGTAACAAATAAATAACACAACACACACACTCTTTCTTCTTCTTTGATTGAATTGGCTCACTTGGTTTTGGTCATCAACACATACACCTGCTCAATCAAAAAAGATATTTTAGTACAAATGATCAAAGAAGGGTGTGGGGTGAGACCCTCTGATTGGGCAATGTTGTTGTTGTTGTTGGGCACGGTGCAATCAATCAACCACACACACCCCTCGGATCTTTATGACCCAATCCGCCTCCCCCTTTCTGATGTGGATATCAATTCATTCATTTGACAATAGAATTTAGTGAACAGTTAGTGATTGATTAATTAATTACGTCTATCTATCTATCTACTTAACAAACAAACACACACATACACAATCATTATTATCATCTCAACTGCAGAGACTCTTCAATCTATTTATCTCTATCAAAACCAGCAGACACACACTACCTTTAAAGGACAAATATTTCTAATCACTCAATATATTGTAAGTGTAAAAGACCAACCACGACCTACTCCTACAACAGCAACAACAACATTGATGTCTTTTGTCTACACCATTGGTACACACACACAGCCTACATACTAGTCTCACAACATCCAACAACAACAACAACGTTTCAATTCAATCTGTTATCCACACCTATAAATATAGGTCAGGTGTGTATGTTGTTGTTGTCTTTGTGTTTATATCTGTATCGATGGATAAATCGACCCAATATACGCACAACAAGTGTTGTGTCGTTGTTGGGATTGATTGATGATATCATCATCATCATAATTAATACTCACTTTGAAATCCATCATCTAATTATCTATCTGTGATATAAATATACGCACATTGACCGACAACAGACCCACCCGACATAGTACACCCATTATATTTTGGACAAAGGTGATCGTATTATTGTTTTTGTGTGTGTGTTTGTTAGTGTGTGTTAATCTCCATATATTAATTAATTAGTCTACGACAATCACCATCCATCCAACACCATCCACTATCCATCCATCCATCCATCACATAAATCCAATTAATTACACCCTTTGCTACCAATAACAACGATCACCACTCACCAAAAACACACATTTACACTGTGAGTAATAGAGGGCAATCATGCCCAATGGTGGTGCCTTTGTCTGGATAATCCAATCTATTATCATCATCAACATCATCCATCATCATCCATCATCATCATCATCATCATCATCACTCATCATCATCCATCAACATCATCACTACTGGACCGCGGAATCAATCATTATTACAATTCCTTACAACAACATCATTTGGATTTTACTATGCCATAGTGTTTATCCATTATCCAAACGACACAAAGCTCACTACTCTTTATTATTAGTACTATAGAAGAGATATTTATTTATTTATTATTTATTTATTATTTATTTATTTATTATTGGATTTAAAATAATTCCTTGTACAAAAAACATGAATCATAACAACAACAATAACATCAGAGGCCATCACCAAAACACCTTTCACAATACTAACAATGGAAACCAACAACACTTTGGAATATCAAGGTCTACACTTCCACCACACAGCCAACAACAACAATACAAGTACAGTCATTCATCATTGCCTTTGAAATCATCGACAGACCATACCTTTCAACAACCTCAACTTCCATCTCACTTTTTGGTTGGAAACAATCAACAACAACAACATCAGCATCATCTTGGTGGTGGAAATAACAACAAACCTCCTCCTCCTCATACTCACCAAGAACAACAACAACAATTCAACTCTGACAACTATACATTAAGAGATCAACAACAACCAAATCAATACTATTCTCGTATTTCAAACTCAAACAGTCATTCAAGTGACAGTCTATATAATCTTCACAACAGACACAACAACAACAACCACCACCACTCTTCAACAACATCACCTGATCAAGCAGCATCATCAACCAACCACAACATGGCCATTTACTTTAATCCTCGTCCCAACTTTTCTTCGACACCCACCTACTCGAGCGCTAGTGAGAATGGAGCCACCACCGCCACCATTCAAACATCTGGCCAGTTGGCAAGACTTCCTGGTGGTTCTCCACAATGGCCCTCTCGCCAATTTGGTGGTGGACTTCCAAACCAACTTGGTGGTTACTACCAGCATCAGATCTCCAATGAGGCACTCTACCAACAGCAGCAACATCATCAACACCAACAACAGCAGCAGCAGCAACAACACCAACACGAGGCCAGTCCATCCATTTCCGACGGTTTGGCTCACTCTAATGAGAGATTACCACACTTTGTTTTCTCCCAGTCCCCTTCCTTCATGGGTATGACATCACCATTCCAGAATGTCCTGGAGGGCAACCTCAAGATTGATCTCTATCACAAGCCAAGAGGTTCCAAGGGAACATGGGTACCAATCGGAGCCAATGACCAAATCAGAGTGACCGAGGGCAAAGGAAAGAGAATCAAGATGATTGTTCACGGTGAGCAGGAACTTGTCAAGGTTGGTCTCCAGGTTGGTTTGCTCGATCTACAGTCGTCAGGTGCCAAAAAGTCCACCAATCCAGGTTCACCTCCAACTCCTGGCAGCAGCATTAACAACAACACCAACTCTGCCTCAACCGCACCCTCACCATCAACATCATCCAATGGACCATCTGCAATGACTGGATCATCACCGTCCACCCATCCAAACAGCAGCATCCAACCCTCGTCAATCACTCAATCACCATCCTCCTTCTCACTCTCATCTCCCAGTCAATCACCTTCACAATCACCACTCTTTTCACCATCTGCCACAACGGCATCACTCTACTCTGTGTCAATATCTGTGACCCCACCCTCACAGAACCCAGCACCCGAACTACCAGCGGGCAACTCTACCCAACTGCCAGCACCCGATCCTCAAGGACTCTCTGTCGAATCTGTGCGTGTATATAGATATCCATCAATGTCCCAGATCACAATGTCGGCCCTTGAGTTTGAGTTGAAGCTTGCAAGACTTTCCAAGAAGATATGCATTGTCATCTCTGCACAGGCTCGTGATGGAGGCATCTATGAAGCAAGATCAGTCGATTTCTATGCTCACAACAATGGCAAGCACAACAACAACTCATTGTCCAGACAGAACAGTGCCAGAAAGACACCTTACAGTTCACCGACAATGTCTGGCAACAGTCAGGATGGAGTGCCAACTTCCCCAGCCGGCAGTGACAAGAAGAAATACGTCAGGAGTATGTCATCCAGTGCACTACTATCCAACAACAACAACAACAAGCAACGTGGAGCTTCGCCACCCATCCCTGCACTTCCACCCATACCTCTTCCAGCGACAATAGACTTTAGTGCTGGCATACCAGCACCTTGGAACTTTGGCAACCATCAATCCATTGGCAATAGCGATGGTAACGGATGGGGTCAACAACATGCAATGTACCTATCACATCCAAACCTTTCATCTTATGTCGATGACAAACATTGATGTCAATGTCCACCATCCAGTCTGAAGTGATACCATCACTCAGCCCTGTCAATCTATATTATTTATTATTAAGGCAAATGTACACCTATATCATCAATCCCTTGTTCAACAACAAACAACAGACAACAAACATTATGTAACACTCAAATAGAACCAATACTATAGTATGTGTTGTTGTTATTTAAATAACATGTTGTACTACTACTACGACTACTACTACTTCTTTTGATCCTTATCCCTTGTGATAAGGACATCAATAAAGTCTCCAAGTATTACACCAATCATACTACGATCTGAAATTGACGATGCAGTGCCATAGATTGGTGCAAATCCATCTGTTGGTAGTTTGTCCATGGCATTGAGTTCGCGCAATGATTCCTGAACGTCCTGGACAAAGACGTTCTCCATTCCAATGTGCTTGGCAGTGATACAAATATGTATACTCTCTGGTTTCTGCAAGGCGTTCAGATGCCATCCCTTCTTGGTCATCTGATCATTGACAAAGTATATATTCTTACAGGTAAAGGCAACGACCATTGCTTTGGGTTCACCAATAATAGTCAGTCCTTCTATTTGTCTTAGTCTGTATAGATTAAGTTAGTAATAAATCGAACAGGACATTGAATGCTCTTACCCTTCAATTATTCTAGTTGCAGTTACCATTATACCTTGTACCTTGTTACGATAACCTTGACGACCTTGAGCAACCAATGATGCCCAACTAGATGCAACCAGTCCGCCTGGCCTACTACCTGGTAGGGTAGGGGAGGCATAGATTCCACCTGGCCAATCTGGTGCTGTAAAGTACATTGATCTCCTCAATTTTGGCTTTCCAAAGAGAACAACAGATGTTCCCTTTGAAGCATAGCCAAACTTGTGAGTGTCCACTGATATTGAAGTGACTCCAGCCAAACGGAAATCAAACGGTGGTACAGAGTATCCAAGTTCCTCTGCAAATGGCAAGACAAAGCCACCCAGACAAGCATCCACATGTAGACCAATGTCATTGTCCAGTGCAAGTTCTGACAGTGCCTCAATGTCATCAATGATTCCATGTGGGAAGTTGACAGCTGATCCACCCAACATAATTGTGTTCTTGTTGATTGCACGTCTAACCTTTTTGATGTCCACCTTGAAGTCCTTACCAATTGGTATGTGAACAATCTTTATACCAAGGTATCCACATGCCTTGTCAAATGCTGCGTGAATTGTAATTGGTACAACTCTAGTGTCGAGGTTAGTATGATATTACAAAATGTCAGATCTTGACAGACAACTTACATTTCTGGTGTTGAAGTTCTGTTCTTGTAGTAATCTCTATAGGCCTTGACGGCCATGACAATACTTTCGGTACCTCCACTTGTCATTGCACCTACAACCTTTGGATGTGCATTCAACATGTTTGCCACCATGGCAATGGTCTCTGTCTCAAACTTTCTGATGCTTGGGAATACCTCTGGATGTAATGGGTTGGATAGAGAGAACATGGAGTAGGCCACGTTGAGAAGTTGGCTGTGTTCATTCTCACCCAGATAAACACATCCACTGACTTTGCTTGTGCTCCATATTGATTCATCCTTCTCCATTAGTCTCTGCATAAAGGTTATGATCTCATTGTGTGACATGCCCTGTTCAGGTAGTACAAAGTGGGCATTGGTCCTATCCGTCTTGAATGACTTTGACACCTTGTCCTTGACCTTTTCTCTTTGTTTCTTTATCTCTCTCTTTACAGCAGGTATCAACTTTACCAGTGTAAACACTTGTTGTTTAATTGATCCTATTAGGTCTAAAGGGTAATACGATTTAGTAAGAGCGATGTTAAGATTCTCGAGTGCAATACTTACTTCCACGTCCAAGTACTTTGATAATGGACGATGAGATGATTGTTACAATGATAGTTGTAAGGATCAATGTCAAGGGTTGGAAGTTCTGCACCAAGTATGTGTTTGTGTTTACAATGATCTCTGTTATCCATCTCTCTAGTATCGGTTGATAGGTGACCCAATGCTTTACAATGATATTGTTGTCGTTGTTGATACCAAGTAGATGTTGTGGTGGTGCAAACATAAACATTGCAACAATGCCAACAAGTAGCAACAATAGGAATGATGTTGTTGAAACATATGATATCATATGTCCTCTCCTCTTCCTATTTACTAAAGCAGGTTGTCTTTTATCCATTTCTCTATCTATCTGTAATGTAGTAGTAGTCAGTGTAGTCAATAAACCTCATAAGGTTTATTGCTTAAGGTTTGTGACGATAAAAATAAGATCTTGATATCTTTGCAACGAACAAAGTGATGTGGTGAGACACACCATCATGGTGCACCAAAACAAGGAGGTAGCCCAACAACACACACAATATCATTCGCCCCCAGGATTGTCGCTTAGGCTGACGATGATGGTTGTAGACCACACCACTCTGCAATGAAACATGCTAGTACTCTAGTGATGTCCCGATAGCTCTCAAGACTAACACTCTCATCAATACTTTAAAAGAATAGTAGTATTAATATTAGTATATCTACCTGATGGGCGGTCAATCGTACGACGAATCTACATACCCATGAATGTGAGTGGACTCTGGACCAAAGCATGCACTTGGAATATTATAATAGAGATCAAAGAAACGACAGTCTGTTGTACATAGGATTGGTTGTTGTGGTACTTCTTTCTACATTCATTTGTGTGTTTGGATGTGATTAGTTTGGGATTATACTACTACAACAATCACTTACTACTTACACCCATAACATCCTTATATGATGATCCCAATTGCTTCATTAGATCACCGTTGACATCCATTGTTGAACCTTCAGCTTGGAAACCATTCCATTGGATTTGATAGGTGATCTTCTTTAGTTTGGCAGCTTCATCAATGGCTTGAGTGATTGAATTGCGAACGGTCTCCAATGGTGTTCCTGGGAAGAATCCCGCTCTAAGATCGAATGAACACTCACTTGGCACTGATGATGTCCATTCTCCACCTTGAATCTGTCCAAGATTAAATCCAAGTGGATGAGGGAATTGTTTAAACAATGGATGACATTTCTCCTTTACATTCCATCTTGAAAGATTATCAAGTTAGTTCACTGTCCTGTAGTCTTGGTAATTGTATTTTCTAACATACGATTTCTCAAGATCACGTATTGCAGAAACTAGATACATTGCAGCATCAATGGCATTGATACCAGTCTCCATCTCCAATGTATGAGCTGGTTTACCTTGAACGGTAACGTTGCACCAGACAACACCAACCTGACCAGTGACAAGGAATGGGAATGGTTCTGGGATGATGGCGGCATCAGCACGATATCCACGTGCCAAACATGCCAGTGTACCATTTCCTGTGCACTCCTCCTCGACCACCGTCTGGAATATGACCTTGGCCGATGGTACAAAGCCCAACTCCTTCAATGCTTTGTAGGCAATGACAAAGGCCATCACACCAGCCTTCATATCACCAGAGCCACGACCATACAGTCGGCCATCCTTGACATAGGGTGAGAATGGATGCTTTGACCACAATGTCTCACGTCCTGTGGGCACCACATCAATGTGGCCATTAAAGATGAGAGACTTGCCCTGTGATCCCTTTGATAGCATGTCCGATGCGACTACAGGTGGAGTGTGTTGAGCCACAACATTATCCTTTCCATCGTAGGACCAGTTGACCGGTGAGAAGCCTGGTAAATCCTTAATGTCATCCAATACGATTGGGAAACGCTCTACGTTCAATGACAAAGAGTTGAATATCTCTTGCATAAAGATCTGTGCATCCTGTTCATTGCCAAGTAACGAGTCGAACGATACCAATTGCTTTAACTTTTCTACAGCCTCTGCTTGCATCGTATCAACCTTGGCAATGATCTCATCCTTTGTTGGGAATCTAATATTGTTACTCATTATTTGTTATTTGTTATAATATTAATTGTTGATGTTGTTATTACTTGAAGTGAAATTGAATTGAAGATGGTTGTTTGATTCAAATTAATATATTTAATTTCAATGGGTTGATCTTATTGATCATGCATTACTCTTGGTCGCAGAAGATGGTGGTGCTGGTGCTGTTGGTGTTGACAATGGTGTGGTGACAACACCTTGTCCAATGAATGAATCATAGTGATTACTAGTCAGGTCCTTCATATAATGTTCAAAACAATCTGGTAGTTCTTCTTTCATCGTTCCTGGGAAGCCAGAGTACACTGTGAATGGAGGTACTACAGTGTCTGGTGGCAATATCGTTCCATCAGGTATCATACAACAATCTTTTAATATACATCTCTTTGACTGTTTTGTAAGATGTTAGTATGTCTTGTTGTTATTGATTGACGAGCGAGAGAGAGACACTTAAAGTAACATACAATAACACAGTTCTTTCCAATATAAACGAATGAACCAATGGTTGCTGCACTGATCACTGTGTTCTCATTGATCACTACATGATCACCAATCACCAATGGGAAGTATGCTATTGATCTAGATCATTGTGTGTGAACATCGTTTGAGTCTTGTTCTTCTTCTTTATCATCAACTAACTTCCTTCATTATATCTTTACCCTTTAAACTTCTTATATGATGGTCTAATGACAGCATTATCAGAGATGATTGATAGTCTACCTATATTTACATTGGCCAAGTCACCTCTCATGATGACTCCCGATTTAATGATTGACTTGCCCATCAATCTGATGTTCTGACTACCACATAGTATTGATTTCTTGCTAACCTTATTACCATTATGTGTCTCTATATAATCTGTCTTGTCATAATATACTATTGGTTGTTGCATTATTTATATATATATGTACAACTACTACTAGTTGTTATGGATATTGACAATGTAATGTTTTGAGTGTTTCGTGTACATATATTTGTTATTGTTGCAATTCAATGAACATGATATGAGTATGTAACATTTGGATAAAGATCCACTTGTTTATTACTATTAACAACGATATGAAGGAGATGGAAGAGTTAAATCTCTCTCTGGTCTCCATGCATAGGAGGTATACGACCACCAGAAAGTTAAGCTTTACTATTGCTTATCGACTGGTAGGTTGTTGGTTGGTGCAGATGGTGCTGGGGGATACGAGTAGAAATATGGTACAGTGTAGTATTGTGCATTGTTGGCTTGTTGCATTCCCTCTTGTTGTTGGAACTGAGGTACAAGTACATACTGCATTCCAGGTGGAGGTGGTGGAATGTTTGATACAACATTGTTGCTGTTGTTGTTGTTGTTGTTGTTAGTGTTGTTGTTGTTTGGTAGGACATAGGTAACTGGTGGTGGATTGTTGTTGTTAATTGAAACATTGTTGTTGTTGTTGGCCGACTCGTTGCTGGTGTTTGCTTGTTGGATCTCAACGATTGGTGTGTAGTTGATGGCAGCATACTTCATCTCCTTTCTGACATACTTCAAGAAACGAGTGTAATGTACCAACAAGAATGTCTGTAAGATATTATAATATGTTAGCATACAAGTAGTAGTTTGAGTTGGTCTTGGGACTCCCAATACCAAATATACTTACGGTTGCAACAATGAGAACAACTCCAATAACGATGCTTGTGATTCCAATTGGAATTGAGAAGAGGCACAAGAAGAAAGAGATAAATCCAATAACACCTGCAAAGCTTGTGAACCAAATCAATGACATTACATAATGCTATATTAATTGATTGAATTGATTGATTTGATTAGTTATCTATTTGACTGACTACAATGGTAGTACAGTGATACATACAATTGTAAGAATTACTGTTTTGTTTGAAAGGAATGCATAGAGACCTGGAGCCACAAAGACAAATGTAAGAGCGAATGTGAAGAAGGGGAAGATTACAACGTCGATAATCAATGTGCCAGCGACAACACCAACGCAAGTCTGGAAGATCAAGAACAAGATGATGCACAATCTCTCCTTCTTGAACATTGGATCCTTCCATGCAGTTGCACTGTTTGTAATTGGAGTGGATGACTCTTGTGGTTGAGCATTCACTCTATCCAAGTTTAGACCAAATTGATCTGGTGATTCTGCTCCCATTATTTAAATATATATATATTGTATAGTTATAATACTACAAGTAGTGTTAGAGATTGAGTAATATAATATTGAGGATGATGGACGTGGAGATGGTGAAATAGGTTGTGTTTTTGTGTGAAACAGACAGAGCTTCGTATCGATTTTGATGTATGAGGTGATGTTGGGGGGGATGGGTGAAACTGACGTGGTTGTGTGTATTCTCAGCTCTCCAAGACTAGAGTGGCAATCTTTATCCATCAAGCGAACTGGATTCCAAACTAATGAATCACTCTTATGCTGAAAAGTAATTAATAAACTTCCAGGTTTCATTCCTGGTGAACTTCATCATCATTGAAGTTGTAATAATATTTGGGTCCTTTATTGTCTACCATCCTTTATGGAACAATTGTAACATGACCCATCTTTCTTCCTTCTCTTGCCTCACCTTTGGCATAGAGGTGGAGGTGTGATCCCTTTTGAGATAGTGTCTTTTCCCATGTATCAATCTCTGCTCCAAGTAGGTTGTTCATAATGATTGGGTTCTGGGTACCGCTCTGCTCCAAGTACTCCTTCTCGGTGATTCTCTTCATCAGGTCGACACTGCCCAGTGGGAGTCCACAAATGCAACGAATGAGTTGCTCGAATTGACTTGTGACACATCCTTCGATAGTCCAATGTCCACTGTTGTGTGGACGTGGTGCCAACTCGTTGACCAACAGTGTGTAGCGGTTGTCCTTGTTCTTGACGACAAACAACTCCACTGCCAATATTCCAACCAGTCCAATGCCCTTGCCAATCTTGCTGGCAATCTCCTTGGCCTCCTTGTGTAGGTAGTCGGGGAGGGTGGCTGGTGCGATGGTCTGACGCAGGATGTGGTTGCGATGCTTGTTGGTCACCATTGAGAATGGCAACTCGATAGAGTCAAGACCACGAGCGACAATCACCGATGCCTCTGATTCAAACTCAATGTACTGTTCCAAGATGGCCTTGGACGTGTTGGTGTCTTGAGTGACCTTCTTCCAGGCGCCCTCCAAGTCGACAATGTCAGAGATCTTGGCCTGGCCCTTGCCATCGTAGCCCATGGTGTTTGACTTTAGGATGCATGGATAGCCAATCTTTTGGACGGCGAGCTTCAACATCTCGAGTGACTCGACTGGCTCAAAGTTGGCAGTGCCAACGTCCAACGATTGGATGAATCTCTTCTCTTGGACACGGTCCTGACAGATGCGCAACACCTTGGGGTCGGGGAAGACGGCCACCTTTTTCGAGAGATACTCGACAGGCTCCACCTGAATGTTTTCAAACTCATAGGTGACCACGTCGACCTTGGAGGCAAACGAGTCCAGCGCAGCATAGTTGTTGTAGTTGGCCTTGGTGGTGAAGGTCGAGACGTGTGAGGCAGACACATCACTCTCGGGACAAAAGATGTGAGTCTTGTAACCGAGTTGGGCGGCAGCGATCGCAGTCATACGTGCCAGTTGACCTCCACCAAGAATACCAATAGTTGAACCTGGTGCCAGGACCAACGATGATGGACGGGTGGATGAGAGAACAAAGGTTGACAATGGACTCTTTTCTTGGTTGACGCCAACGATTGGTGATGTCGATCGGACTGGTGAGTTGATTCCACCAGCAACAAGCAATGATGGAGAGGCTGGTCCATGATGGCTTCTGTTGTTGTTGTTGTTGCTGCTGCTGCTACTGTTTAGTTTTGATTGCATTGGTGTAGAGACCTGCTGCTGTTGTTGTTGTTGAACTCCTCCCATCATGCTGGAAAAGTTTGCAAGCATCTCGTTGGAGGTGACAGCAGCACCATGATGTGCAGCAACCGGTTGATCGGTGGGTGTTTCGGCAACGGCATCGGTCTGCTTCTTGCGATAGATCTCAAGGGCCATGTCGATCTGGGGATAGAATGGAGCAAGCACGGCAGCGGCAAGGAGTGCAGCGTTGGTTGCACCGGCAGCACCAATGGCAACGGTACCAACTGGTATACCGGCGGGCATTTGAACGATTGACAAGAGACTGTCCACACCGCTCAGAGTCTTTGATTGGACGGGCACACCAAACACTGGAAGTGGTGTCAATGCTGCCACCATACCAGGAAGATGTGCGGCACCTCCAGCACCAGCGATAATCACCTTGAATCCACTGGACTTTGCGTTCTTGGCATACTCAAACAATCTGTCTGGTGTCCTATGTGCAGAGACAATCTTGGATTCAAATGGAATACCCAATGTTGTCAATGTGTTTGCTGCCAACCTAAAAGTTATTTAAATAAATATGTTAGGATATTCTATTTGAAGACTGCTTGTCATCTGTCAAGTAGTATACATACTTCATGGTCTCCCAGTCTGATTGACTACCCATGATGATTCCAACCATTGGGCTTGCATTATGGTTGATTGGCAATGTGAGGGATGGTGTTTCGGTTGTTGATCTACTCAACCTAGTCATTGGTGAATAGGATGGTGATGGTGACAAGATATTGTTGATGATATTTGATTGTCTGCTTTGATTCTGTTTGTAGTATAAGTAGTTGGTTAATATATTGCATTTGTACTTCTACTACTTCTACTACTACTTCTAACTACATTACATACAAGTGATGAGTTGCTGCTGCTTTGAGTTTGACTATTGTTCAAAGTCATATAGTCAACCAACTTGTAGGTTTCATTGGCAACCCATGTATAGTTGTCAACCAACATCTTGGTCTGATCATCAGAGAGTGTACCAACTGTTGGACCACCAGCCTGCAATGGGATGTTACGATAGACCTGCTTATCTCTCATCAAGTTCTTATCTCCATGTGGCCAAATCCTCCAAGAGTCATTGTCAATAACGTCGGCCAATATGATTTCCTCTTGTGGTGTAATACCAAACTCGACCTGTAAAAAGGATAGTTAGCCTTTGAAAGAGATAGATAGACACGCAAGTGTACAGTATATACATACCTTAAAGTCAACAAGTACAACATCTACTGATGCCCAAGCACGCTCCAATGCCTCAAATGCAAGACTGGCAACGTGACGGAGATGAGAGAGTACCTTGGAGTTGATAGAGACACCACCAATCTTTAGGTCCATTGCAAGAATGTCACGCTCAGTGACGAGTGGATCGTGCTGTGCATCATCCTTAAAGGTGAACTCGATCAGACATGGGTTGAATCTGGTGCCCTCGGTGATGTGAGAGTTCCTCTTGAGGTAGGATCCAGTGGCCAGACGTCTGACAATCACCTCGAGAGGGATCATCGAGCATCTCTTGGCAATGAAGCTGTTGTTTTGCTCCTGACGAACGTAGTGCGTACTGATACCGGCCAACTGAAGAACACGGAACACATTGCAGGTGGTTGTCGTCGAGTTTATAGCCTTCATTGGTAGTTCGTCCCTCTTTGCTCCGTCTCCAGCAGTGATTGAAGAGTTTGAAACTACAACAACATGTTGGTCATCCTTGTTTAGTTTGTAGATTGACTTTGTCTTGCCCGATGCCATAAATGTAACATCGGTAGAATCAAATACTGTTATAGTCATGTTTTGATTGTATATATAAAAGATATACTATATGTATCTATATATATATAAAGATAGAAGTGTAGGATAATGCTTGTAACTGTAACACTTACAAGAGATATAAGTGTGAGTCGTGTGGTGGTGAACACAGGGTCGGGGTGTGATGTTTAAACGAAAGGTTTTAAAATAAATAAATCAAATAAATTATTTGTTTCAATTCCGTGTCGGGATTGAAAGTTACTCGGTTGTCCCAAAGATATAAACAGTTGAAGTCTATGACTAGTTGATTGACATGTAAATCAAAAAGTGACTTTGAATTGTATTATTTGTTTGGATAGTTCAATAACAATTCATAGATAAACAGGATGTGATGATCATACAAGGACTTGTAGTTGTTAGGTCCTATTCTCCGACCTTCTGTCTTCCCAAAACATCTAACACTCACGAAACACATTAATACCACCTAGGTATGATCGATCGATCTGAAATTGACGCCAATCAAATAATTAACTGTTTGGGTTGCACAACACACACAAACATAATGTTGTTGTTCTAGTATTGGTTGAGTTGTTGTAATAACAAATTAATATTTAAACATTGTATAAATATATTTAAATAATCACACAAGATGTCTAGACACTCTATTTTAGTTATCAGTTTGTTGATACTGGTCTGCAATGTACAATACTCTTACTCTCAATACACAAATGGTACATGTCTGACTACGACTACTAATTCTTAAGAATATAACTAATAGAATTGACATTATAACAACAACAAACAACCACGACAGATACATGCGCACAATATACAGCAACACATGGTATTATAACAGTTGAAGCAAGTTCCACTCAATTCTGTTGGAGAGTTGTACCAAATATGGGTGCAGCCTATTTGGCCAAGGATGTTAATATCACAGTACTATACGTTCGTAACCTAGAGTTGAACAACAACTCTTTGGTTATTGTCGCTGGTGGTTTGACATCGGACAAGGCCGTCGCCACCTACACCAAAGACACCAATCAATCACAACCTACAGTGATCAGTACTGTTGGTCAGGTACTCATTTACTCTTATTATCAAGATGCACAGATAGAGTTCTCTATTGAGTTTGGTAGTAGTTCAAGTATGTACATCAAAGTAGGTAGTAGTATTTGGCTATCATTATCATTCACTAACATATAACACATTATTATATAGATGACAAGGTTCTAAAGACATCAATTATCATGCTGATAAGTGTAGCGTTTGCCATGTTCATTCCATGTGCACTGGTATCATGTATCTCATGTTGTACAAAGGATAAGAAGAAGAAAAAGTCAAGACAAACATGTATGTTTTGGATCAGTGCTGTACTTGGTTTGGCTGCACTAGTTGTAGTACTATCGCGTAAAGTAATCAACTAAAATAAACTTGATATCATATGTAAGAGTATATTATAAACAGCTTGGCCTTCTCATGCCTGCTGTTGTTGTTGATTTGTTTATTGTGATGCGATCGCTCGCCATTGTTGTTGTTGGGATGGAAAGTATGTTTGATTGTGAGGTGAGTTGTTGTTGTTGATGTAACCATAAGGTATCTTCATCAAGTGTGCAATGTTATCTATGTTATTAAATAACATAGATTATTAAAATGATATATATGAACTACTGCAGCAGCGATCGTCTATTGTTCTAGAGAGTACACTCCTGCTAGACTTATGTGAGAACAACCTTTTGCTTCTTTCTGTTCTCATCGTCGATAGTCTGTTGATAGTTGTAGGCATAGAAACCCATGATTCCAACGGTGATTGCCTGAGCCCAGATTCTAGCTCTGAGGAACCTGGTAGTGGTCAATGAATTGCCACCTCTGACATGGTTCCACACACCAAGTCCTAGCATTGCGGCGGTCAGACCGGCACCACCCACCAACAAGTAGTCACGCTTGGCTCCATCGACCAAATTCTTTGGTGGTGGAGGGATGGTAAACTTGCGTTGAAGTTTAGCCAACATTGAAAGCTCTGCCTCTTGTGATGATAGAGGTGTTGGGTTATTGTCTTCTGATGTTGTTGACATAGTTATATATATTTGTAAGTGTAGTTGTTATTGTTGTTGTTATTACTAAAACTAATTCTGTGTTTGAACAACTCGACACTACACCAGTGTTTGGATATATAGTTGTTGAAAAAAATTAAATTAAATAAAGAATAGGGGGTAGTTTTGAGGTGTGGTTTTATTGTTTTTGGACAACACACATAATCTGCAAAGTTATTACCATTACTAGCCCTGGGGCAATGTTTAACGAGTGTTACATTTATATCTCTCCATTGTGCACATACTATTTACGTGTGACATCATCATTATCATTAACTTTCAACACACACAAACATCTCGGATCTTTAGATCTTGAACTATCTACTTGAGATCCCTATTTCCTTTTTTAGACTTGTATAGTTTGATTAAAAAACTCATAATTAATAATATTAAATTGCAGAGTGATGTTCAAATAATGTTGGTGATCATCTTCAAACCAAACTAACAACAACAAACTAGTACTTTTTTACAATAGTAACTTCCAACTTACACAACACAAATAATCATTTAATATACATATATATAACTTGGGATGAAAAGACTTACAATAGGATTATTAAAGTGTGACAAGTTCATACCAGAGATAAAGAACAAGTTTGGAGACATTGATGTACAGTTTGTAAACTTGTTAAAGTTGAACAAATTGGGTGTCAGTGTTGACTTGTCAGTGTTTGAGGTCACCGAGTCAAAGTTCCCAAAGTGGGACGACGTCATGTCCAATCGATACAATGGCTTCATCATCTCTGGCAGTAGATCATCGGTGAACGACGACAATGAATGGATCCCAGTGCTAAAGGATCATATCAAGTTGTTTGAAGCCAACAACATCAAGACGGTCGGTGTTTGCTTTGGTCACCAGGCTGTGGCATCGGCACTCGGTGGCACCGTAGATACCAATCCCAAAGGATGGCAAGTGTCTGATCATGACTATGTAATCAATCCATCAGTGTTGCGTAGTTATGGACTTGGACTGTCACAACAACAACAGGACCAAGACAACAACAACCAAATGATCTCTGATATTATATGTCTCAACAAACAGATCGTCACCAAGAAACCACAAGAACTATTGTGTTATGGTGGCAATGAGATGTGTAACAATCATGGTATGATCAACCGTACATTCCTAACGTTACAAGGTCACCCAGAGTACACACCGGCACTGATCAAAGAGGTTCTACTCACTAGAAAGGGTGTGATACCAGACGATGTCATTGCAGATGGTATCAAACGTGCAGAACAATCAAAGGTTAATCAAGAGTGGTTTTCAAATCTAATAGTATCTTGGTTCTTACAGCAGCAAAAGCAATGATAAGTTTAGTAATGGGCATTGAGAGACATAGAGAAAGACATAACCAATGTAACAAACAATAAAGTCGTGGCATTGTATTATTATAAATAATAATTTATTAACATCTTGAGGTGCAATGATCAACATTAGGTAGTTGTAAAATATCTAGATTTGGATACAAATTAGATATCCTTCACTAGATTGACGAGGGAGGTCCAGACGACCATGGGTCGCAATTGTAAGTCACTTCAACAAGTATGATGATCATTGTGATCACTGAACAACAACAACAATGACAAATACAAATACAACTTTATATATATTTGTACTACTAGTATCATTAACAGTAGTACTAGTACAATCAGACAACGTTAACTTTACAGCCAATTTAAATGTATGTTAACATCACTTATTCTTGTATTCCAATTACTTACAACTATAGTTAACCATCTTTAGAACTTGAGTGAATGGAATCATTATTGGGAGAGATGTGTTGGTAGTGGACATGCATGGTTAGGTACAAGACAGGATTGGAGGGATGCACTCACTATTGCCCGTGAGAAACTTGGTTTCCAAAGAGTTAGATTCCATGGTATCTTTGATGACGATATGAATGTCTATCAAGAACTACCAAATGGTCAAGTCCAATACTCTTTCTACAATGTAGATCAAGTATATGACTTTTTATTATCAATTGGTGTTGAACCATTGGTAGAGTTGAGGTATGATCATAGTGTCTTACAATACATCAAACATTCATATTAACATACTACCTTACTACAACAGCTTTATGCCAACACCAATGTCATCAGGTACACAAACAATCTTTCATTACAAGGCCAACATTACACCACCAAAGGACTATAAATTATGGTCCGATATGATTGTTGCATTCTTGGAGCACTTGATCGATCGTTACTCATTTGATGTAGTAAAGTCTTGGTACTTTGAAGTGTGGAACGAACCAAACTGTGGATTCTGGACTGGTAATCAGACAGAGTACTTTACAATGCTTCAGGTCACTTCGGATGCCGTCAAATCAGTGAGTCAAGAGTTGATGGTTGGTGGTCCCGCCACTTGTCAATCTCAATGGCTTCAAGAGACATTGGACTTTGTCAAGGATAACAATGTTGCACTGGACTTTGTATCCACTCACGAGTACCCGACCGATATTGAACCACTCCAAAGAGGTATCATGCGTCAAGTATTGAATCAATCTCGCAACACTGTTGGACAATCAATGCCACTGTTCTATACAGAGTACAATGATGGTCTACTGCCACAGGTCAATCTACATGACAATACGTATGCTGCAACGTTTGCCATATTCAATGTGATTGATGTCTATGGTTTTGTGGATATATTCTCTTGGTGGACATTCTCTGATATCTTTGAGGAGCAAGGACAACAATCAGTACCGTTCAACGAAGGATTTGGTCTACAGACAATCTACAACATACCCAAACCATCGTTCAAGGCGTTTGAGTTGTTACACGAGACTGGACAACAACGTGCCTTGGTCACTGGAGATGTTGATCATCCAACTGTTGGTTTGTTGGTTACTACGGACGATGAACAACAACACGACGAGATTTCAATCATTGTATACAATTACAATATACCAAATGGAACGATCGAGAGTGCAAGTGTATTGATCACATTGGAAAATCTACCAACCAATAGGTATGATGCAACATTGAGAAGAATCGATCAAGACAATTGTAATCCATTGGCCACTTGGCAACGTCAAGGTTCACCAACCTATCCCACCAGGACACAGATTGACGAGTTGCAAGAGTCGGCAGAGTTTAGAGTTGAGAATATCCAATTCAAGGTATTGGATTCATCGACTATACAATTCAAGTTGGATTTGTCTCCAATATCAATTGCTGCAATTACTATTATTAAAGTTGATCATTACTAATGAGCTCCACTGGAAACGGAGAGTACGGTGGTGCCATCATTGACTGCTTGAGCATGGGACGTGCTTTTGACATCGTGGGCGATTCGATAATTTCGTTCTACAATGTCACAATGGTGAATTGTGTGAACTCCATCGGCGCAGCTATCTCTGTCAGACAGTCCATTGTTTACATGGACTATGTCAAGATATCCAACTCCAAGAGTGATATGGGCACCATCTACCTAAACCATTCCAGCCTCTACATGTCCACCAGTGTCTTGACCAACAATGTGGCATTGAACAGTGGAGCCTCGCTCTATCTGGCCAGTAGCACTGCCGAGATCACCAACTCGACACTCGCCGGAAATACCCGTGTGGTGATGATTCCCAATCCAAGATTCGAGGAGAACCTGCTTGTGTCAGCTGGCTCCAGAGTCCAGGTGATCGGCAAGCCCCCAATTAGTGTATTCTGCTCAGCTGACTCGACTGTTGTCGATGCCAAGGGAGCCTCGCTGTGCACCAACGTGTTGACCGACTCGCCACTCCTGCCCACCATGCCCAAATGTGGGGATCACACCTGTGAGCTGTTTGTCGAGGACTTCTTCTCGTGCCCTGATGATTGTAACTCAACCCGCTTCACTGGAATGCTCCAACAGGACTACCACTGTACCTCGGACAAGTACAAAACTGCACCCTCCTCAAGAGCCGCCAGCAACGTACAGACATCCCCCTCCGCTTGTTGGAGAACCTTGATGGCCCATTGATCGGAAACCTGACATCCTACTTCTTCGTCCCTCGTGATGGGTTGGTCCACTTCCGGTTCAACTTCTCCGGTGTTAGCCTGCAAGTAGTGATCGATAACTTGAAGGTGGTGTCTCTCAACAGGACATCCGGTGGCCTACCCCAGATGACCTCCATCTACCTCCGAGGCGGCCCCAAGATAGCTCACAGATGGTCATCACATATGCCACAGCGCAACCATCCAGCACCAATCCAACTCGCACCCTCTCCCTCCAATACTCCCTCAACGACAAGTCCAACTACCAACCATTCAACATTGCCTTCTACAGCTACAACACTTGTGGCGACTTCATCTTTGACCCGAATGAGAAGTGCCATCACGACGAGGTAGCTGGCTTTGGCCATCCCAATCTACTCGCCAACTCGACCTGTGGCAATGAAGTTTGTGATGAGTCCAATCCCAATGAATGCTTGGCCGACTGCTACTACCACTTTGGCCCAAGGGCATGTGACACCCCCTACGAGGTCATCCCAGGCACCTTTGTCCAGTTCACAACCTCCGATGACACCTTGGGCAAACTGATTGCCAACCAGATGGTGTGGCGTGTCCCAGGCTATAACCAGCTCCAGTTTGGCATGGATGTGACAACTGGCATCCAGGCTCCCCAGCCCATCTTCAGGTTCGACCTTTGTGACGATGGAGAACAAAAGATCATCCAAGATGTCTATCGTGGCACCTTCTACCAGGTACCCAAGGAACTGTCCGTCGTACCTTTGCCCCAGTGCACTTTCTCGACCAACAGTTCGTTCCACTCTGATGCCCAGTCCCTCAAGACTTCGATGACCCTCACCACCTCTGAGACCGCCCAGGCCAATGCCGACTTCTCCAAGGGTGGTATGCCCATTGGCATCTCCTTGTCGGCATCGTTCTCCAACGACAAGTCAGTGACCAAGGCCATGAAGATGAGCTCCAAGAACACGGGGTCCCTCATCGATACATCAGTCACTTGCTACTCGTTGGCCTTTGAGCTCAACTTGGACCGCCAGCATATCCCCTGGAGCAGCAACTTCCTCATCGATATTTCGCGCGCCATCTATTCCAAGGACTTTAGTGACCTTGTGGTCAAGTACGGCACGCATATCTACCTCACCGGCCGCCTAGGTGGGAACTTGAAGCAGATAACGCAGATCACCAGCTCGGAAGTCAAGGAGGAGGACGAGTCATCCTACTCTCAACAGGCGTCCAGGACCTTGGCCACTGCAGTAACCTCGCCCGTGTTCAGCGCCAATGCCAACTACAACTCGGACACCAACGAGGAGGTCAATGAACAGTCCATGAAGCAGTTTGTCTCCAAAACCACCAGGACATCTGTGATCACCTATGGAGGTGCACCCGGCAGCTATGGCCCTGGTGATGACAGCACCACTTCAACGTTTGGTGTTTGGGCCAACACGATTGACCAACTGCCCATCGTGGTTGACTACCAGATCATCCCGATCAGAGCACTGCTGCCAGAGACCTGGACCACGATCATGGGCGAGAGTATCCTAGCCAAGTGGACCCAAGCCGAGCTGGAGTACTATGTCTACCAGATCAACTCGGCCCAGGGCATGGAATCAGTTTGGATGAAAGAGCAGACCCTGCACACGTTCACTATGTTCAACGGGAAGTTCAAGACATCCATCACATCAGTGAGTGCAATTACCAACCTCACCACGTCCTATATCGACCTCGACACTGCCTCCCCTGGTAAAGGTGAACACCAGATCAGCACCGACTTCCCCTTCTCCCTCGACACCCTCAGCCACAGGGTCTACATCAACGTCTCCCAGGACAACACACCAATTCCTATGAACACTGAGGGCATTCCTACCAAGGACCTCAATGGCGATACCAGCAATTTCCTCCAGTACACAAATCTGATCATGGTTGCCTCTGGCACCACGGACAAATTCTCGGTGGACTATCGATGGGACCTGGAAGGCTCGAGCAACTCTGGTGGCTACGTGACCAATCTCTGGAAACCCTACCAGATGAAAGATGGACTGCTGTCGCCCATTGTCATCCGAGACACCTCGTTCCTCCTCATCCCGCCCATGCCCATCGCCTACACTTCCATGGCCATCAATGTCAACTCAGGTGGCTACACCAAGGTTGTCTATGTCAATCTTCAAGTTCAGGTCCCCCCACATGTCTCCTGTCCCGTTTCCATTCCTCAGCCCTTTATCTCCTTGTAAGTGATAAACATCCTCTTTAACCATGATGATGGATACTTACATTATCTTTACAAATTCGTGATGGCCACTCACATCGATTACACTCCGGGCTACGCTGCCTTTGGTCAACTCTCACGGGACTTTAGTTGGTACAATAGCGACAACCCAATCTCTAAACATTGGTACTGGCGCTCCTTTGCATATCTTAGAGACCTAGCTAAGGAGATCAGCGAAAAGGTGTGGAATCCTTCCAGAGTGCCAAAGGTTGGGGTCACGACCAAATACGTCAGCCGACAGGGTCTTAACTACCAGGTCATCGACAACTCCCCAACTGGAGCTCCCGAGGACAAGTATGTCTGTGGTGTCACGGCTGTCTCATTGCCCGTCGAGCAGCCCTCCTACCTCTTCCTGCCAAACACCGATGCCTCGCCATCATATGTCATGGTGGAGATTAGCGACTCGGCCAAAGTGTTTACTGGTATTACCTCCATCCAGGCCCTATCCTTCTCCCCACTCATGCCGCTCATCCGAGAGATGAGCAGGGATAATATTGCTACGATCAACAACAACGACAATGATGGATGGTGGAACTCGCTCCACGGCCTCTTCCCCAGCGCAGATTGGATCCCAACCACCCCCAATGTCTACATGACAGCCCTTAATGGCGCCACAGCCTATGTCAAGAATCAGTCTGATGAGGGTATTGCCTACTGTGAAACCTTCTGGGATTGGCAAGAAAGCAGTGACGCGAACCCCGATGGATTTTACGATTAAAGAAATCACATCGCCGCCATCCAACATCATGGCAACAGTGTCATAAAAGATGATGTCCGTCGCTGTGCAGTGACGAGTTCAAAGATCAAACCAACAATGATGATGATGAGGAATGGACGTCCAGGTACAACTCTGATGTAGTCCTGTCTTATTGGTTGATGTTTGAACGATCTCCTGGCCAATCAGCTCAGGTTGTTGAGCAGGTGCGCCACCAGATGAAGTTGTCCATGGCTGATTGATTGGTTGAGTGTGAACTCGATGAGCGACGTTGGCATGTCAAACGTGTCGAATAGGAGCCGTAAGCATTGGTGCCAGTTGTTTTGGACGCACTTGGCCAAGGTCTTGCGAATATGAGTGTGGCTGCCGCCCACTAGACTCTGATGGATCTCCTCCCATCTCGTCTGCTCTGTTCCAGCTGCCAACTGTCGCTCATATTGGATAATCATGTGAAGAATATCGTGACTGCCAGAGAGCAATGCATCGATGATTAGGTTTGCCATGTTTTCCGGTGTGCAGTGATGTTCCATTTGACACATCGAGAGGAGGAACTCAAAGACTTGTGTATGAGAACCAGCGGCCGCACCAGAGTAGGCTCTGGATGTGCGGCCTTCAGTTCGCTTGTGGTGTAAGAAGGTGACAACATCCAAATGTCCATTGGAAGCTGATTTTTCCATTGCTTCGGTGGTGGTGGCCTCTGTTCGGTGTGTTGTCAGATACTCCACTGTCTCCAGGACTCCATTGGTTGACGCATCGAGTATTGTTTGTGAGACGTCAGACGAGCACACATATGGCTGATCGAGGAGATAACGAACGATATCCAAGTGTTCGTGCCCATATGACATCGTGTGTGACGGGACGGACTGCCTTTTGCGATTGAGGAGAAGTTGGAGTATCTCGAGCTTGCCATGCCTAGCCAAATCGGGGAAGATATCGCAAGTATAGAGACATATTCTTGGATACTTGTTGCACAGTGGCTGCACCATCTCATAACATTTGTTTGAGATGGCCTGGTCGATTGGATAGACACGACTATTCGATCGGTATACAGGACTGATGATGTCGCTGTTCAGGAGTCCTTGAAGCAAATCCAATCGGATATTGGCGTCTTCATGCTCACGGCCCATGCTCCATATGCATATGGCCAGGTCGTCCAAAGTGAGGGGGCGATGTTGCGCTGGCACACTCTCAATGATGTATTCTCTGACTGCATCGTTGAGCAGGTACTGAAATGAGCACAATGTGTAACCGCTATCGATGGCAAATGCATTGGGATGATTAGCGAGAAAGGTGCGCACCATCGATGCAGTGGCGCCAGGAGAAAGTGATGTTGATGAGCTGATGGCACCGAGAATATGATCACATTCGAGATATGTAAGTTGCTGTTGCTGCTGAGATAAATGGTTGTCCAAGAATTGAAACAGCTCAATGCGATCAGACCGAATCAGTTCTTTGAGCAATGCCTCGCCATCGAGTGCGATGTTGATGTTTGGATGAGAGATCAGGCGTTGAATGAGCTTGATCGATTGTATCGACTGGTCAATCGTGTGGACCCAACACTGTCTCTCGTTGGCATCGTCACAGTGATCCAACAGGTACAGGACAATCTCCAAATGGCCTTGTTCCAATGCTTTCGGAATCGCATCCAATCCAACGATGAACGGTGTTCCCAGTTGGACACACTCGGCGTGAACATATTGCACCAGTTGCAAGTCTCCATTGATCACGCCATTGCGGACAATGTCAGCGGTGCCAATGCCAACATTGTCTAGCTTCATCTTCAATGCCACAAAGGTGAGGTAGTTCGAGAGGGAGCGACAGACAACGGGTGCGAGACTGCCATCTTGAAGGAGCTCTGGCAGTGTTCGATTGATGTTCTCGAGCAGATCCATACTGAAGTAGTGCAGCAATGTTGACTGGACGATCTGTATGACATTTGTGCGATCGATGCAGTGGAAGAGAAGCCCAACAGAGGTGATGAACTCCAGTGCACTCTCGGTCGATCCAATCGACTTGATGAACTGTTCCGATGCTTTCCAGTGGATGAGATCACGGGACGAGAAGTGGAACAGGTGGATGTGGTCCATGAGGCAGTTGAACATCTTGAAGTCGACCAGTGTCCTCCAGCCGATCTTGGTGATATCGATGAGATGCTTGCCGTGTGCAACACGATCACAGGTGCAGTTGATCAGAAGATACGAGAGGAACTCGGTGTCATTGCTCGCCAACGTTGAATTGAGTGCATCGGTCGTCAGAACGTTGTGATGTGCATTGTTCATCTTGATGTTGTGATCAAAGAGCACTTGGAATATCTGACGATTCTGGTGCTGGACAGCCAGCATCAACAGCTTGTGCAACGATCCTGGCTCCTCATCCAGTGCATCCAGGTATCTATTCAACAGCAGGCTCGCATTCCTCTCCTGATCGTATCGATCCTGTATCGTCGCGATTCTTGGCAGGTTCAGCTTTCTGGGTTGCACCTTCATGGCGATGCCCCTTCTAGGTGCCACAATTGTCGTATCCACGCTCAATAGAGCTGATGATGGTGGTGATGACAATACTCTCTCCTCGATGACATCAGCAAGCTCATCAAAGAGCTTGATAAACAATGCAATCCTGCCATGGATGATACAGGCTGATAGCGATCTCTGAGCTCCAACCTGTATATCTCTGCGTTGTTCAAAGATCTGTCCCCTGATTACAGTGCTCCTGAACACTGTCAGGAATGACACTCTAGCTTGCTGTTGTTGATGATGCATCCCAATAGAAAAAGAATATAGATAGTTACAAGTATGGAGCTAGGTCTTGTGAAATTTTGGTTACCCTTGCCCTTCATATTGCCCGTTTTGTTTCAACCGAAATCACGACAATTTGAATTTTTTTTGCAACCTTTACTTTGAGGACTTCCTGCAGGAGGATCAGTGTCCAAACAGGGAGTCGGGGAGTCAATGGTGGAAGAAATTAAAGAATCAAATAATTTCTTTCTATTATTAAAAAGTTTTCACCATTGACTCCCCAACCTCCCTATGTCGATACACATCCTCTTTTTCCCCAAATTCCCTATCCCTATTCCCCTCCCTTCCCTCCCCAAGTTGCAACGGATACACTTTTTGTTCTATTATTATTATTATTATTATTATCCTCCCTAGACTCCCCAAAAAAAAATAATAATAATAAAAGAGAATAGATAAAAGAATATAAAATTAATAAAGTTGAAGGAAATAATGGAATCCGCGAAGCGGATGTAATGTTGGATCGGGGCCCCCCAGAGTTATACACACACATATAGATGTCACAATCATCAAGATTATCAAAGTTAATTAAAAGATTGACTGAGTGGGGGAGGCAAGGTCAATCATTTGATTGACCAAAAAATCCCAATTGTGATTGACTTTTTTCATTGTTTTTGGTTCCAACTGGAAAGATATAAATACTGGTATAGTAGATCTGATCAATATATAACAAATTAATACTTTAACAACAATACACATACCAATAAGATGAACAATCTACCAATAAGATTATCTTCTATTCAAAGACCAACCTGGGGACTTAAATCAACAAATGTTTCTAAACCAACTTCACCACCTTGACCAACACTACCATATACTTCCAAGTCACACTGTATTAAAGATTGGATCAATAACTTTACTGTCCCAGAGCAAATGTTGTTCGAGGCCAATAGTTGTTCACCATTTCTCAAAACAACAAGAGAGATGAGGATGTGTACAACATTTAATGAATTCAAATACTTGGTGTCCACCAAAGAGTGTTTACAATGTTTGTAAGTATATCAATATTATTATTATATTGATTATTATAAATTATTAATAATAATTATCTACTTTCTCTATAGAAATATGGACGATCTCACACTTACATGGAGCACCAATTATTTTGGGAGTTTTGCCAAAATCCAGAACAGATCAAGATCAACAATAAGAGAAAGGAGGTGTTTGTTAAATGGACCAACAATAACATTCCAAAACAGAAATTGGTTGTTGAAGCTACTCAAAGACCCGAGAAGATTTTATATACTCCAGATGATGACATTCCTGTTGTAAAGGTTCCAAGACCTCAACTCTGTAAACTTCCAGTCTCAGACCCCAATCTATCTAGATTCTCAGATCAAAGTAGGAGAACTCTTAGCAGGATATTGACCAAACGACCAAGAGATGAATGGTTATCATATCTCCCGAAACAGGATTTTGGTGACTTGGAGGACATATCTGACATTGATGAATCTGATCTCCAACCACACAAATCAAATAAACTGGATTGATTAAAAATAATAATAATAATCATCCATTATTTAATAGTAATATATAGGACCATACACAGTAATCCGAGGAAGGAGATCCGAACTGCCCATGATACCATTTCACCAATGTCCCTTGACAAATCGCATTATTAATCTTACTTCAAACTTTTTAGTTGGGTGGGGCATTTTTTTGGTTTGACCTTAACTCCTTTTATTTGATGATCATTCCAACAAACAAATAAACACATACTATTCAAACTACCTCTTTACATGTATAGACAGCCAACGTCCACAAATAACACACACACACAAGATTGAGGTGTGCCAACCATTCAAAGACTCTCTCAATCATGTTAATTGAAACACCAACACTGACGTAGAAGTAGTAGTAGACTTGTTGACAAACCTCCTACTTACAATGCTTAGGACCTTTCATCACTCACTTATTCAAACACGATGGTATGTCATGTGAAGGTTGTGTTTTATGCTTTAACGCAACATTAATTGTTAACGCTCACTGCAATTACATCTGAGAGGCGTTCAGTGCTTCCAGATGGCTGAAGACCTTATAGGTATGGAGCCAACAGGAAGCGTATATTATTAACAACATAGAGAGATGGATTTAGCCAAAGATGCTGATTACGCTGTTGCTTTGCAGGATGCCAACAATGTCGAGTCACTCAGTGGCGACTATTAGTCTGATGTACCGTGGAAGACACTTTCATTGATTGGGATTTGCAGTTCCATCATTGACAGCTGGTAGGACACATGGCAGAAGCAATCATTGGCACCACGATGGCGCGGACGTCACTCAACAATCGAATGGATTCGTCATCCTTTATCATCCGCTCAGTGTTCAATGTACATCTTACCAAGTCCCAACATATTGACTACACCAGCAACTTCATCAGAAGAGGATGTCCAGCAACTCGAACAATACACACAGCTCCCATCACTCATCGAGGTCAAGGTGAATGAGATTGGCGCCAGTTCATAGGTCACAAGTAGGAGGACGACATCATTGACGTGCTAATGAAGTCGACGTACAGGGACGAATGGCGATAGTATCACTTTGTTTTTAAGAAGTCATACCTCCTACTACGGTAACATCAATGGGAAACACGACATCAAGGGCACTTGACCAACAATATCAATGGACAAGTCAGACTACTACAAGGTGTTTTGTCCGATCTAAAGGAGAATGAGCGTGATAATTCTAATACACTCAATGTGGTAATGATGTCACCTCATCCGGATTCATCAGTTGGATTATGCGTTTCTTTGGACTGTCTGTTCAACATTATTCCGTGGAATGCCAGCATCCTTCAAGTTCAACGACAAAGGCATTAAAAGTACTACCAAAAAAAACACAATAGGTTCCAGCCTAATTTGGTTTTACCAATCACCTTTGTCTAGTTCCAAATAAAAAAGGGGTATAAATACCTAAAGGTTAATGTCAACCAAAAATGTGACCCTCCCAACTATAAAGTTTGAAGTCACATTAATTATGCGATTTGTCAAGGGACATTGGTGAAATGGTATCATGGGCAGTTCGGATCTGTCCGTCCTGAGTTCGATTCTCAGATGTCCCACAAAACAGTTTTTTTTTCACTGTCTCCCTTCCTGTCGATGTCCAACATCATCAAACAAATAATAATAATCATAGGTGTGGTGGTTGTGTGTTGGTGTTGTTCATCCTGTGTAAAGATCTTCCAGTTGTATGACCTTTGTCAAGTTGAGAGCAATGAATAGAGAAACGTGGCATAGTTAAGGTAATCGGTGCAACACTATTCATACATATATATGTTCAAAATCAGACACTATGTCTGAAAGCATTCCAACAGTAACTCAGACGTTTGATTAGACAACACGATGAATTCAGGTGTCAACACACTAAACAGTCTGTTGCAATCTTGGTCGTCGATTCAAAGACGTTGGGAACATGTCGTGCCAAGCAATACAACAACCACAGACTCTGTCAGCACGACCTACTACACATCCTGCTCACCGCGTTGCTTTGTCAAGTCCATTTTGGAGCCCCCCGAGAATAAAGGCCTAGTTCAATGTATGTATAGCATAGCAGTAGTTTAGATCATAATGTGTATGTTTTCTAATTGGACTTACAATAGACAATAGATCCAATGCAACCTCCCGAGGATGTCTACCTTCACTCGACTTCTTACTCGATCATATCGCACATAATGTATGTGAGCCATTGATGACAATGGAAATGATATCAGAGGAGACCAGGGTAAGCTTGTCGATCAGAGATGGGACAAGTAAGTATCACTCTTTCCTTCTTGCACCCATACATAGTAACAGCCAAGGCACAGTTGCCAACTCACGCACCTCACATTCCCAAAAACTTCAGTCAATCAATGTCGTTCCAACAATATTTTGATTGGGTTTGTTAGATTGATTGACTGGACAATTGTTTGGAAACTCATCTTCCATTACACAACAACAACAACAACAACAATAATAACAACAACGTAGTATTAGCTTACAACAAATATATATATATTGTTCTTGGATCATTTATTTATACATAACAATGTCATTGTTGCTTGAGGATTCTTGTAAAGGATTGTTGGAGTTGGTCGGTGAATGGGAGGCTACAGTGACCCAACGCGACGATATATGTAAACAATTCATTGGAGAGTTGGAGACAAGAGGACTACTAGTCTATGCAATATTATTCAACCCATCCAGTATCGCCAGTCATACATATCAACCACTACAATATGTATTAGCTATGAAGGTTGCCAGCAACAACAACAAAACTACCAAAGTATGTCATCATCACATTTATATTATATAAAGTAATATTGTACTTACCAATGGTACACAACATTATAATACCCTTTAGGACAAACCAATTGATCAATTGACAGAGGCACTAAAAGTTATGTTGACTCTAAATACCTCTGTATCAACAATGCCAAAAGAGGTCCAGTTGTTTGGTCAACAAGCCGTCTATGCGTACTATCAGGGTATCAAGTTCTTAATAATGATACTCCCTTCTTACCCACGGTCCCTTTACCCATTCCTCAACCTTTACAAGTCTACTGATCAATCAAAGAAGTTTGAGGAAGTATCTACAGCCACGACGACGACGACGACCACCACGACCACCACTACCAAACGTACCTACGACAATAACTATTATGGTACCAGGGACAAGAGACAAAGATCCAACCAAGGTAGACCAAATGTCAAACCAAAAGGATTGGTTGGTCCTCCACCTATGGAAGACCCACTCCAAGATGTCTTTGACCAGATGCCTTCAAGCTGGGGTAGCGCACAAAAAGGATCAATCCTCCTTGAAGTCCATTGACCAGGAAGTTCCTAGTGTCTACGACCATTGACAAGTCAACTTGGTTCGACTTGTCACCATACATTGCTTCAAGAAGTTCATCTAGACCCAGCAATGGATCAATGGTGTAGACACATGGTACATGTCTTCTATTCTTGACTGTGCACATAATGATTGCAGAGTAGGATTGAATTGGAGGGAATTGCCATTCAACAAGTTAGCTATGTTGACCGCTCCTATCTCCAAGGTGATGTGTAATGAATGTATACACCAACTTGGAGTAGACCATACTATCGATAATACCAAATCTAGGCAAGTACTCTTGGAACCCACTATAGTAGTTGGCAAAGTTCTGGCAGAGTGAAGCCACTGGTGGAAGTTGTCCATTGTTTACCTTCAACATATACATGAAGAAGAATAGTGTCACAAAGGCAAGAGTTGGGTCGTAGGCCATTGTAGAGTGACTGAATGGAACCTTTGCAATCTTCATCAAGGCATGGAGTTGTTGTTGGATGTTGACGGGGCATGTTGCCACCACTGATGAAAGCGATGTCATAATCAGAGGTAGTAGTACATCCAAGTAGACCTGTTGACTTCGATTGTCAACTCGAGATGGGAACTTCTTCTTGATATCCCACTCGGACCTCCAACATGATGGTCACTCTAGAGTATACATCATCGTATCTCTTCACCTTGGGCCAACGTGTACAAATTCAAAGACTATTCGATGACCTCTCTACAGACGATATGCTGCTCATCGTGCATATCGATCGCTTGACCAGAAGGAGTGACGAGTTGAACGATATCTGGTCCCAGTTCAAGAACAAGTCAATCAGGTTGGTTGTACTTCAGAATCACATTCATCTGGCCGATGGCGTTCACTACAGAGGTGGCATCTATGTCAACTTTGAAACCAATCGATGGTATCCTCTTGCCGATGGAGAGCTCATTGTCTACAATGGTTTGGAGTGTACAAGACACAAAATGCAATTGAACTCAGTGGTTTGCAAGTTCTACAGCCACACTACAGATAGTCTTGATTCACTGCTCAAGTACTACCAGACTCAAATGAGTTACTCTATAACTCTGTGCAACGATCACTCAGTGTACACTCAAAGGTACCATCAAACCAAGGACATCTTGAGAATGCCAGACTGTGTCGACAATGTATACAGACCCTTCTTCAATGACATGTCCAATGGATTGATTGTGAGTCGGACATCCGTATCTATAGACAACAAGGATCAAACCTATATCATGCTACAATCAGACATTGGAGCCAAATGATTCCCATCCATTACCCGTTTTGAGGTACATCAAGAAATTGCTGCCAATGCCTTCTTCAAGTACCCCGACTCTGTAAGCACAGTTGATCCAAAGTTGATAGAGACACTCTATGATAGTAAGTTGTAATACAATTTGGATACAGTATCAATGTGTGTCTCTTGACTGACAATCTATTATAGAATCTCTAATCAAAGAAGTTTATCAAGTGTGTTGTCAACACAATCTGCCCAACATCATCACCTCTTCAATTGATCGGTTGTTTAGATACCACCATGTATTTGATCACTTTGTCCAACGCTACCTACTGCCAAGCAAGGGCACCCCATCATCAACAACAACAACAACCCCGTCCATCATTGTCCTCTTCCCTCCATACGAGCATATCGTCTCTCTCTTTAATCACATTGACTATATACGATCCATCGATCAAGTACAATACAGTCCAGTCTATCAATCAATCATGGAGATAATTGGTCACAACAACAACAACAACAACAATACCTTGGCGTCCATTATCAACTATCACAATTTCCTCAAACGAGTTCTCTCTACCTGTCCACACTCTACAGTAATCTACTTTCCCACCAAGATCACCAGAGGAAACCTTGTGCACTTCCAATCACACGAACACAATGCCTACCAGTTTAGGACATATTTCCAACTGATGATGTGGACACCCAGTCCCACTGGACCATCCAAAGACACTGATCACCGTTCAATCAAGTCGATCTTTTGCAACAACAACAGATTGGCCAGTCATCCATAGAGTATGAATAGTTTGATCAACGCCATTCAGTATTGCTCAGCATTGCATTTGGGAGACAACCTCCATGGTATGGCCAACACCATGGTACTCCACAAAGATAGAGATCAATTTCCATTGTATGTACAAATCTAATAATAACAACATTTATAACTTTAAATCTAACATTTATTAACGTGTGTGGATAACTCATCGCCGCTGGCTTCGCAACATTACGGAGCTGGCGCTCCTTCATTTCCGACTTCCAAACTCTCCTATCCATAGTTTTATACACTCTTCTTCTTTTAAAAAAGGTATCTGTATCAATAATGTAGAATTGTAGTAGAAATAGAGACTTTAAGATCAAATATTAGAAATACTTTAATCCTAATTAAAGAAGGTTGTTTTCCTAATTCTACTACAATTCTACTTTCAGTACCTGTCACCGCCATAACAGTAAGCACGTTGGAAAAGAGTATCTGTCTAATCAATGTAGAATTGTAGTAGAAATAGAGTTTAGAAGTTCAAAATAATAGAATTAATAACCTTTAATAAATACAAGGACGATCCCTCGATTCTACCAACAATTCTACTTTCGATACCTGTTAGCGCTGTAACAGTTTGCACGGCCAAGAGAGTTACCAGGAGAGTCTCAGCACGTTGGTCAGCACGTACTTCCGAAAGTTCACACGCTGTTCACCGATTGTTCACCGTTTGTTCACCAACTGTTCACCAAGAGTTCACCGAGTGTGGGTGTGAGTGGGTGTGAGGATAGTAACAAATTGTATTGATGATGATTAGGTGCTGTTATGCTACCTCCTCCAAGAAGGTAGACATCTGATGACTTGGTTCGTGCGCTATCTCTTGTTCATCGTCGATATCGACAATGAGTGAGTCGAAAATGAATCGATCCGAGTAAGGGATTGCAGGTCTGAGCTTCAGAGCGATGTAATCGAACAAGTCCTCGCAGTGAGTTCCAGATTCAATGCCGTCGTTAGTTTCATCTAATTTCCGTTTGTTGCCTGGTCCTGGGAATGATATGTTGAAAGGGTTCAGCGCGGACGAGAATATATCACGTGCCTGACGTTCTTTCGGATCGCCACCTTTGTCTCCATCATCACCACCATCGCCAGTGCCAGAGCCCAACTTAATCTTCTTGTGACTTATTATGTGATGCTTGTTGATGAGAGCTTGAAGAATAGACATACCGACAGGTCTGTTGACCTCAATGAAGCTGATAGTGTTTTCTGCTGAATACCAATAGATGATCCAAGTCGTATTTACATCAGTGAGAATTGAAACTACTGGTGTGTGGTCCTTGGACATTTGGCTGGCAGAAATGAGCTGAAGCATTGTCTGGTATCTGTCTCTGGACTCTGGTGCCTGCATCTTCAGCTCGATAGTGATGTTGATATGTCGGTTGACTGATTCAATGTCATTGACCATTGAGATGACAAAGTCTGTGCTACCCATGTATCTCTTTCTTTCGCAGAGGTATGACATGAACTGTGTCTGTGCGTGAACATCGAGCAGGTTGAGGTCATGAAACGTGATGTGTTTGTGGAGCCATGCATTGAAATTGTTCATGTTGTCTGTTTCTTTCCCAGTCCATTTGAACTCGTTTGTTTTGTGATGAATCTTGATCTTGGCAGTCTCCGACTTGAGCTTAAACAAGGATGTGGCACTCTCTAGAATGGACTTGGGTAAGACATGTGGGTGGATGATCAAAGACTTCTCAATCTTGACTCGGTCAAAATGCTTGGAGGTACAGTCCGAGAAGGCGATTTGTTGGAAGGATGACTCCATGACGACATTGGTGAGGGTGATGATGTTGGCGTTAGTTGCCTCCTGTACCTCTATCAACCTATCGAATGCTAGATTGGAGAACAGAGGTCAGTATCGATCGAACACATCACTCGCTCTCACTTCTACTTACGCGCTTGGCCACCACCTCCTCCTGCAACACCGGCTTGAGTGTGTATGTTAGTATTGAATGAAGACATTTCGCCGATGTTGTTTGTACTTACGAGCTTGGACTACTGGTTGTGGGGCACCTTGAGCAGCAAGTAGAAGAAGCAACCTCTGGGGCAGATATCGAATATCGGTGCTGATACTCCTAATTATGGAGAGTCGTTGTTGATCTGTGAGGTTGTTGTTGTTCTCCAATACATCAACTTGTGCTTGGATATTTGGATCGGGGACCCAAGGTTGTTGATGTTGTTGCTGTTGTTGTGGTTGTGGTTGTGGATGATTAGACATGATGATAAATAATAGAGTTGGACAACGAGGAGATAAGAATGAATAGAGTTAGGCAGTGATAAATATGAACAGATAATGTATGTACAGGTAGTTGTTATGTAGTGTGAACAATAAATGAGTGAGTAGAGCTTTTGGTTTTGTGTGTTGAAGATGATCTGCTAGTCCCATTTTGGAAACACATAAACTCAAAAACAAATAAATTAAATCAAATTAAACAATTTATCTCTAACAGATATAACATGTCATTATTCAAAGAGTACTATTGGGACGAGAACTCGGAGTTCAGAGAGCGTCACAAAGCATACATCAAACAAAAGGTAAGATGTGAATGCGGCTTCGAGGTAGGTCGTACCAATCTCAATCGACACAAGCAAGGCTACATCCACAAGCAGTTGATGGCAAACAAATAGGTTCAAAGTGATATAAATTAACATCTCAGTGTTAATATATAGAATGAGTAGATCAACAAGAGACATTGGCGGCAGACTGAAGAAGACGGGCGTGACAGAGATCAAGCTCACTGGCAACTACACCAGAGCAGACATCGAACGAATCGCCCAACGAGACAGCAACACGCTCCAACGATACGGCGCCAACGCGAGGATAGAGGTCGTGCTCGACTACGGCAACCATCAATATCGATCAGGCAAGTTCACCAAGGTAGGCGAGCCGATCATCATGTTTGATCCTCACGAGTAYGATGGCGCACCCATCCCAGAGCCTGACACATTTAAATCGTTCTACATCTACGTACATCAAGCAAAGGGCAAGGCAGGAGGCTGCGACGGCGAATGGAACAACTGCCTCTACCACTGCCTCCACGATGCCTACCCAGACCAGGTGACTGAGCACTACGGCAAGCCATCGCGCCTCAAGATGTTCCTCGGTCTTGATGTCAAACAAAAGGTGTCAATCAAGCGCATCGCAGAACTCGAGGCCAGACTCAACATCAGAATCAACGTCAAAGGTGATCATTGCCACGCCTCCACTTCGAGGGCAACCAGAGAGGTCAATCTGATACTAACCAACGGACACTACAAGCTAGACAAGGAAGGCACCTATGCAGGCAAGGGCATCAGACACATGCGACACAACGAGAGGGACGTCTACATCAAGCCAATCGTATTCAAGTATCTCAAAGGCGAACAGGTCGAGCTCTACGATGGGGATGAGTACTCCACCATCAGCCTGGAGCAGTTCATCAACAAGAAGAGGCGCAAGTACCAAGACAAGTGCGAGTACATCCGCATCCTCTCGGACATGACTCTGGAGGAGACATTGGACTCGTTCAAGGCCGACGCCGATATGCTCAAGGAACACACTAACGGCGTCATCGACATGTACACCACTGGACAGAACATCAACAAGGCTGCGATCAAGCTGTTCCTCTCGTACAATAAGACTGTCAAACCAGAGCCTATCGGTCAGATAGAGGGCGAGTGGATAAAGAAGGCAGCCTATGGCCCATTGATGATGGCGACGCAGTACACTGGCCCCCTCTACAAGTATGACGTCGCTAGGATGTATGCCTCCATCTTGAGGAGCAGCGGCTTCATGATCCCAATCAAGTGCGGCAAGTTCCAGCATCTGACCGATGAGGAGCTTGCAGCCATGCGAACCATCCCATTCGGTATATATCGCGCCACGATCAACGGCAAGCACGGCGAATTCAAGATCAATAAGAACGACTACTACACTCACTATGACCTCATCTTTGCCAAGGAGCTAGGGCTGACATTCAACCTCAAGACCGGCAGAAAGGCAAATGCTCTGATCTACGACAGCTGCTGCAGGAAGTTTGGCTGCGATCTGTTTGGCAAGTACATCGATCAGGTGCTCGGCTGGATTGACGCATGTGAGCCCAAGTCTAGATTAGAGGAGCTCTGCAAGTGTCTCTATCAACGCCTCTGGGGCGCTCTCTCCAAGCGCAACAAGACCAAACAGTGCGTCAACATGGAGTGCGATGCCGAGGTCATCACGACCAGCGACGGACAGAGAACGATCAAGCACATCAATATCAACGTTGACGAGGACTACTCAATCGATCGCATCACTCCAACAGCCAATGGAAGCGCAATGATCAAGTCGGCCTGCAACACCGACATGTTCGACACACCATTCGCTCGCATCATGCCATTCATCATCTCTCGTGGTCGCAAGATGATTGGAACGATAATAAAGGACGACATTGACTGCATCAAGCGCGTGCACACTGATGGATTCGTCTCGACCAAGCCATGGACTGAGAGGACAGGCAAGCGATCACTGGACTACCCCAAGTTGGGCAAGGAGTGTGGCGACCTGCGATACGAGGGCTACTGCCCGAACGCCAATGTCAAGAACATGACCAAACCTGTTGGATCTTTCGCAATTGGAATATGGCAAGGTGAAGGAGAGTTTAAAATATAGGCTACTGGATATAATGGAAGACAGCACGGAGTTGTTAATCAATAGAGAGGGCAAGTTGACCAACGTGATTAATTCAATCACTGATAGCATTCTGAAACAGCGTGAGCAGGATATAAAAGCAGTTATTTCTAAATACAATGGTTCAGACAGCGATTGCGACGACATGTCAGTCGATGATCCCGACGACCCTTCTGACTATGATGAAGATGAGGACACTGACCCATCGATGTTCAGATATCTTGACAAAAAGGACTCAGCAAGGGCATTGAGACAATTGAAGACCTGGTATAAGTGTGCCCAGGAAGATATCCATCGTCAACGAGTACAGTTGGTAAAGGAGAGAGACCAATACAAGGATAAACTTAACAATATGATTGCAGAGCTGTTCTCCATCTACAAGAAATATGGCCCAGGATCAACATTATAATCTCTACTTCCATCATTATGGACGTTGAGATGAAGACGCCTTCATCGGCAGCTACAGCGGGACAGACTCGCCCTGTCCCACTGGACGTAAAGAATACCATCGACAGGAGTGGCAGCAACACCAACAAGTCATACATGCAACAGTACTACGACGAGTACAAAGATGAGATCAAGGCCTACAACACAGAGAGGATTCCATGCACTGTCTGCGGCAAGTTGATCTCGCGGCACTTGATGAGGAAGCACGAGAGGAGGATGCATGGGGGAGAAACAAGGGGCCAAACTCCCCCGGGTCTTTTATAGTGATATTACTCGCTGTCATCTTCCTCACGCTGCTTATCTTTGATGTTCAACCTCTTTCTCAAGAGGTTCACAAGCTTATCGTTGTCAATTTGTTCTTCAGCGTGCAACTCTCGTAATTGTTCTTGCAAGTCCCTGACCTGTTGACGAGACGTACCGAGTTGAGCCCTGGTACGATCGAGCTCCTCAGTTAGATGTCGGACTCTTCTTTGAGCCCTTCGCTGGAATATCTCGAATGCTTCGAGGACATCATCAGAGAGCTCGTAGTTAAGATCTGGTCTGCCACTGTTCCTTCTTTCTGGTGAAGTAACTAATCGAAGGCGATCGATAGCTTCGGGCGTATTTAAGTCAGCCCTAATGGTAGTGTCAATAATAATAACATAACGATGGGCTACTCAATCATGACTTACATGATAATATAGATAGATAAAATGAAATTGGATATGAAAGGACTGATGTCTCTTTGAACATCACACTTCTACAACCCACGCTGGTCGCAATGATTTTGATCTGAAATTTCATCCACATTTCACTTGTTTTTCAATGAGTTTGAAATCGGCAACAGGCACACAACCAACTCCCTTAAGCACCTCCACTGACCATTCATTCTCTTTAGTGAAAATGTTGTGCAAAGAGTGTAATAGACCAGGTAAGTACACAGGTAAGACTGCTGTGAAAGGTTCCCAAATGTGCAGTGGATGTAGGAGGAACGCCAACAGAGTCACCTACAAAGTGGAAAAGACAAGGATGAAGGAGGGCAAGGAGATTTACATCAACAAGGTGGTCGAACAGCATGGGTACTGGACTGCCAGAGTTGGACATCTCGAGGAACTCGCTCAAATTGTACCGGCTGTCAAGGAAACACGGGATGCTTATTACAAGAGTATCTCCCTTGAGCAGGGTCTTGAGCGCCATATCCACCCTAACGTATGGGCTGGAATGGAAACGTCATCTGAGGTTACCCATGACCTCCGATCCACAATCCTTGCGTCACAGCCGGACGTGAAGATGACATAGTGTTGTATTTGTTGTTATGATTACGGGGCATTCGGTGCCTCATAATTATTTCTTTCGCTGCTACACGTTCCGCAATCACTCTCCCTTAGTCTACTGGTCTAGAGCACATCAGAAGCGCGCAACATCTAACTCCGTGTTTATCAACACGATACAGCAAACAAAGAACCATTATCACAAGTAACCAAACCTCTTGTACCTTTCCTTCATCTCTCTCGCCTTCTTCTCCTCTCTCCTCACATCACTGTAGCCAGTCGCCTCTTTGAATGGCACGCCTCGATATCTATTCAACAGGAAACGCATTGCATGATAACCGCAGGTGTCGGTGTTGACAGCCTGGTCGATCACTCTGTTAACTTTAAACTTTAAATACACGTCTGGATCGATCTCTTCAATCAACTGTTTCATCCTCCTCATAAAGTCAGTGCTTGGGTCATCACCAAACGAGTCGTAGTACTCGATCGACTTGTCGCCCTTGGCATCGATATAACAGGCGACCCAGTGACTGCCCGGCTGACTGCTCTTGTCCAAGTTCATGATGAACGACATGTGCTGCTTGGGCTTCAACTCATCCAGTTGATCACTCGCGATGACGCCCTCAAACCCATCATTGGCGTATGGCTGCATCAGCTTGTCGATCTCGTAGTCGTAGAGGCCGCCATGCTTGCGCCCGCTGCCTTTCTTCATGCCCTTGACCTCATTATAAATAGAGTCCATCCAATTCTGTCTTTCGCTGTGGCGCTTGAACACCTTCTTCAGCTCATTGTACAGCTGCTGTGAGGCGATGTCGCCGTCGTAGTATTGCTTGACCAACTCCAACACCTCAGGTGCCAGTGACGTTGGGATCGGTTTGAGAGAGTCCATTGCCTGTAGTCTCGCCATCGTTCCTGCTTCTGATATCAGTTCTCTCTTGAGTTTATTTCTCTCCTCATAGGGCACGTTCTTCAAGTCCTTCCCAAGGTCATAGTTGAGGTTATTGATTGGGTATCCTGTGTCCAAGTAGTGCTGGCATGGGTCTGCTCAACGAGGCCATGAGTTGCGTTCTGCCTTTCGATCAGTCGGTCGTAGTTGTTGTGCTCAGGCGCCTCGTCGTTCACTGCCACTCCCTCAACCTCCTCGCGGGGCAGTCTCGCCACACCCTCGTCGATYTCCTCAAGCTGGGGCGGCTCCATGAGTTGTGGGAGTAGTGCCGGTGCCGGGAGCAGTGGTCGCTCGTGATCCTTGATGAGCGCCTCAACCTTGGCTCTTGTCTGKTGCTCCAAGTCTCTCGCATTCTTGAGCAGCGCTTCCCTGTAGTTGGAGTCYTGTATTGATCTGATGTACGCACCCTCTGTCGGTGTGATTGGAGAGCTACTTGATGCAGCGTCATGTCGTCCTGTTAGCATACTCCTSGGTGGGGCGGCGGTTGTCGCCTCTCGTATCAGCTTCTTGATCAACTCCAAGTCTGACTTGTGAGAGTTGATGTACACCTTCTTCTGCTTCCTTCTGATGTACCTACCATTCTTATCACGTCGCAACCGCGCTGGTCTGATCTTCTTTATCTTGACTCTGAGCTTCTTGCCTTTGGTCTCGTTGATCTCTAGATGGACTTGATGTCTAACCATGATACATATATATGATCGTTAGAATTTAGTCATTAGATTGTGTTTGAGGATCGCTGACAGAGGATGCATTGGACGTACGAACTGTTGTTGTTGTTGTTGCTGCTGCTGCTGTTGGACAATTGGAGCTGCCGGGGGTGGGGTCGGAACTTCGGGCTCTGCCTTGGTCTTCTGCATGTTGTTGGTTAGGTTAGAGAACTGCTGCATCAGCTGATCGAATTTCTTATCCAACTCATCTGTCTTGTTGACTCGTGGCTTACGTACAGTCTTGGGCTTCTCAGTCTCGATCACTATTGGTTTAGCTGCGGTCTCGACAATTGGTTGTTGTTCCGCCTCTGGTTCATCATCAGAGTCATACAATACATATTGTGATTGTTGTTGTTCTTTCAATGCTCTCTGTTGTTCTCTCCACTTGGCCAAGTTGGCTGCTGATCCGGCGTAACCTTTCTTTGTTTGTGGCATTATTATATAGTTGTATTACAATAAATATCAAAAATGAGTCTGATCACCCACAAGAGGATCTTTTATGTGAACTCACTGAACAGGTTGGCTGGCACGATCTCGCACTTCACTTATGCGATCGAGAATTATGAACACGATGAGTTCGATCGCGTTGCCATCTTGCAAGCATGCATCCCCAAGTCATTTTACACTGTGCCAAGGAATAGAAATACACTTACACTTAGAGAAGGCGATGATGAGGTGCTCATAACAATACCTGATGGCAACTACTCGAGGCTCTCGCTCCAAGACACGCTGCAGACAATATTAACAGATCAATCACCCAACAAGTTGACCTACTCGATCACATGGCCAACATCCAAACAACCTAATACTGGTAAATACACATTCATCGTATCAGACACAAAGATGGACGTGTCGCTCATATTTAATGATGCTGACCTATTCCATCACCTAGGCTTCAATCAGGACAGCATCAATCGCTTTGATGGCGGCGAGCTCACTAGCACCAACGTGATCGACTTGCAGATCGAGAACATATTGTACATCCACTCGGACCTATGCAGCAATGGATCAGATGATGTCCTGCAAGAGGTTTGCACGGCTGGCGTCCCTGACTTTGCGTATGTAAACTGGACAAACCACAACTTGGAGGCATACTCTAAGCAGTTGGTATCAAAGACTAAAAAGACGTTCTACATATATTTAACAGACAAGGATGGAGTCGAGATCTTCTTGAATGGCGTCGATATGAACTTGACGTTGATATTGTACAGGCGCAACGACATCTACGAGCTGACACGAGGATATATTAATTATTTGTTGGTCAAGGATCATGAGAGTATCGAAGTGAATAGCGAAATTTGATCAGAACAAGCTCCAATCAAATTAGGCTTCGCGACATCTAGAGTGACACCTCCACGAGAGTATAGAGGTTGGAAGCCAAATATAATCGATCGTTACAATATATAATAGATGGAGAACGTCGTTTCAAAGGAATTAGATTACACGCCCCTGCTCGTTGCCGAACCTGAGTATGAATATACGAGGCTGTTCCCGCAGTCAGGCACAACATCAACAACTGTTTACTCTGGTGGCAATGACACAATCTTTGAGATCCCACCGTCCAAGGCATACAACTTGTCAAGATCATACTTTAGGTTCATATTCAATCTGCCTGGCGTGGCAAACAAACAGACAATGATGTTTGCTGACTTTTGTCCATTCTTCAGACAGATCCAGGTGTATACAAGAGGTGGTTTGGATTTGATGAATCATACCAACTTCCATCTCCACGCCAAGATGGTGACAGTGAGGAACAAACCATTGGTCGAGACAGAAAACACATTCGCATCTTTTAGAATGACGAGCGATCAATATATGATCCCATGTCTTTCATCCAAACTACCAAACTCATACGCTGGAGCAATGGTTTACAACCCCAACTACACTGGAGAGGAAGCAGCAGTCCCTTATGTGGAGCCTAGGTATTTACTTGCTGGGGATGGCGCTGGCGGTGAGACCAATGTTGTTGTAACAATCCCATTTAATGAACTCTATGAATCAATTCTCTGTGTTGACAAAGACATCATGTTGAACGAGACACTCCTGGTAAGATTCGTTTGGTCAGAGCTCGCTAATATCGCATTCGCTGCTGATCCACCTGCAGCACTCCCAGATCCATCACCAGCAATTCAACCACCCCCATCACCAAACCCAACAACTAATCCAGTTGCATTGCCCGCACCAGCAGCATTTAATGTCACAAACATGGCGATTTATCTGGCAGTGGAAAAGAACCTCGCGATTGTAAATGAGCTCCAGACCAAGATATTCAGTCCAGATGGCTTCTCTTTGATGATACCATACTCCTACTCTTACCAAGCAGCGCTCACTGGACAGAACCAATCGGTGACTCTCAGAGTCAATCGACAAAATGGTATGACGTTGGAGAGGATCTATCACAGTCTTTTCCTAACACAAACTGCAGCTAATACAGCCATTTACAACAATAACTGGAGAAACACCAAGTTGGATCACTTTTACACAAATATCAACAATAACAGGTTAATGCAATATGATTATTATTTGAACCTTAACGATGATTACATGGCACTGAGATGGATCCTCAAAGACTCGTCACTATTGACACCGAGAATCCACAACAGGAACTGGTGCTGGATTGAGGAGTTTGGAGACGGCACCTCCAACTTCAACAAGGATAACGCTATCACTGGTATTGATCTCAACCTTGGTGAGCAGAAATGGGATTTCATTGGTTTCCTCAGCGAAAATACCAACTTGACACATCAATCAACTGTGGTGTGCAAACGTAAGCTGGTCATCACACCTAATGGCCTTGTTTTGGTGTAAATAATCTCGCGAAGCTTGATTTAATTGAAGAAATCTCCAATTAAATCTCTGGTAGTTAATATAAATGGGATACTCAAAAGAAATGTGCATAAAGACAGTGTTTATCAATCTTGTTTTTCCAGCTGATGGAGATGACCCTCCAGTTGATAAAAGAATATCTGTTCCAATAAATGTTGATTTTGTACCAGACCAAATAATTGTCAAGTCATATGAAGTTATGTACAGAGGTGATACCACCAATCTTATTCAGGTACGATCTAATTTAATACCTGACAACATTTTGTGTTGTAGCACTGAGCAGATATGCTTCCTTTCCCCTAACTACAAGTTCTTGAACAAAGCAGGAAGATACATTCAAGGAAATTATTATTTTGAATGTGTGAATGAGAAGGGAGGACGTGTTAAAGAGGCGGTTGCTGTTACAATTGCTTTAGAGTTTGTCAAGTATGGGGACAATAGTATTACCTAAATAATATAGATGATCAAGCTAAAAACAATAAATGACGTAGAGGTAGAGCCAATCAAACTACCAAAACAACCAAARAATATTAAAGGATCCAAACTCTTCAACCAGGTCAATGCCAACATTTTGATATGTGCGCCAAAGAACAGTGGGAAGACTGTAACCATCAAGAAGATAATTGATGAGTGTGCAGGCAAGAACACCAAGGTGATAATATTCTGCGCCACTGTAAACAATGATCTCAGTTGGGTGGCCATCCAGGATGACATGACCAAACGTGGGATTGAATTTAAAACGTACACAAGCATCAAGGATGGCAAGATTAATTTATTGGATGAATTTATTGCTTCTTTACAACAACCGGCTAGTCCTCAAGTTTCTCCTGGCGATCCCAACAAAATGCCATTGAGAGACCCTTCTGTCCCAATGATCAGGTCTTATCCCCTGATCGGGCCATACGGTCTGCCACCTCCAAAAGAACCTGCCAAGCCAAAGTATGTTGCTCCAGAATATATAATTATTTTTGATGACCTGAGCAACGAGTTAAAGGACCCTTCCATCCCCAAGTTGATGAAGATCCATAGGCACTTCAGTTCTAAAATTATTATTAGCACCCAATCATGGAAGGACACAGCGGCCTCTATTCGCAAAGGTAACCTGGATTATGTATTATTGTTCAAAAATATCAATGACGACACTCTTAAGATAATATATGACGAGTTGTCTTTGACGGTATCATTACAAACGTTCATGAAGATGTATCAGATAGCGACCAATAAGAAATATCATTTCTTTTACATCTCACGCAATGGTGATGATTTCAGGATGGACTTCAATACCAATTTTCTTGTCAACTAGTATAGAAATGTACGCAGTTCCAGTCGCTCATCAAAGAGCAGCTTTAATTGATGCCTACGGAAGTGGGCGCCATCATCATGGTGGAATGATTAGTGATTTTCATCACCCTAGACACACCAGCCTAGGAGGACAACCATTGCCATTTGGAGTCCATCCAGGAATGCACGGTGAAGGTTTCTTTGATTGGATAAAAAAGGCACACAATGCCATCAAAGAACACAAATTTATTAGCAGGGCAGCCAAAGCATTGGATGTTGCCGGAGTTCCATTCGCTGGGACCGTAGGGACGGCTGCCGAGTCCCTAGGCTATGGTAAACCAAGACGTAGACGACAAACAGGGGGCACAAGTTATGGCATAGATGGAGGAGCCAAACGTAAGCGCAAGACTGGTGGGGCCAAAATAAAGAGTAAGAAATAAATTATTTAGTCCATTAGGCTCAATAATTTATTGTGCGCCACCATCTTATTCATCCAAAACATAACTCACTGTAGTTGGAAAAACAACTAGGACCTGATCATTTGTTTTGATTGACGATCCATCTTGTGCAGTGATAATTAATTGTCCATTCACGCATAACATCCTGGATGGAATTGGCACATTAATTTGATAAAATCCAGGTGTCGTGGTCTTTCTCCAGACTTCAAATGGTATGAATGGTTCTGACCTAATGAAATCATTAGCACTAGTTGTTGGAAAGGTAATTCCTGTGTATGAAATTGAAATTAGGTTTCCAATTCTTTGCATGATCGCGTTACTATCTGCAAGGACATTACCATAACTCTATTTGAAGTTTGATCGATGAATTTCATAAATCTTTAGAGGAATTGAGTTGCCCAAGATGATGCCCTCTGTGAATGTCTTTACACCATGTATCATTTGATCAGTCTCTGATATGATAATGTTGGCGCTTGGAGCAAATGTTGGGAGATTGATAACTGATTGATTGTCAGTTTGGACGTTTAGAGTGATCTGGTCCTCCACTCCAAAAGTTATTTGATTGGTGTTGGACTGTATGTTGAGTTGGTTGGTGATGATGAGGTTGTCAAGTGTGGTGATATCAGGAGACTCAAAATCGTTAAACAAATCGATGTAAGACATACATGATCTAGAGTACGATTAGAAATCCAAGAATTTCGTCATCCTATCCCATATGAATATCCGCGAGATATTCATATGGATTACTATAAAACTTTTGGTCTGAAAAAAGTGGACAAGGATTACTTGGACAGGCAGGAGCTCTACAAGTTGTATTTACAGCCAAAGAAAGACAAGGGACCAAACATGCCACATTATCAAGTGTTTGAAACAGGATTGAAACAACAAGCGGATTTATTATTCCTTCCAGAAGACGATGGATACAAATATGCTCTTGTTGTTGTTGACTTGGGCAATCGGCTGACTGATGCTGTACCATTGAAGGCAAAGTCAAGTGCTGCTGTGAAAGAGGCATTTGATGTCATTTACAAGAGAGGGATATTGGTGATTCCAAAGCAGATACAGATGGATCCAGGTAGTGAATTTAAAGGTGAGACCAAAAAAATGTTTGAAGACAAGGACGTGTTTGTTAGGTATGGTGTTCCTGGCAGGCATAGTATGCAGGCAATGGTTGAGGCTAGGAATAAAACATTGGGAACTGTGTTGATGAAGAGGATGACTGCTCAGGAAATTTTGACAGGGGAGACCAGTAAGCATTGGGTTGAGGACCTGCCAAAGGTTATAAAGGCAATGAATGAGAGGTTCAAGGTTGACTCAAAGAAAAAGAAACCAGTATCTGAATGGGTAACTTGCAGCGGTGATTCTTGTCAGGTGTTGGATGAAGGGACCAAAGTTCGAGTCAAATTGGAAGAGCCAATAGATTATGCCACAAGCAGGGCTCCTATTCACATAGCATGACTCGAAGTTCAACCGAAACTGATTCTTCATATCCAATTGGCGCCATCTGGACACAATACAGTACGTATAAAGGTAGCGACAAGGTCAACGAACGAACAAACAAACAATCAATCAATCAAATTAATACCTTATATTATTATTATTATTATTATTATTATTATTATTACATATTTACATAATGTCTAGTGATTCTGAATCATCTACATCATCATCGTCTTCGACGCCACCATCATCGGCCTCAACCCTCGTCGCATCCAGGCGCTCCAACCACTCTGAGGTCTGGGAATTCTTCGAGCGGGAGATCACCTACTACACCAAGGCGCAGATTGAGAGCTTTGGCCCCAAGAGCAAGATCAGGAAGAGTGCCAGACCAGACGAAGAGAGTGGTAGATACAAGGTTGACCTTGCCTGGTGCAAACGTTGCACAGGCAAGAAGGCGTGCTACAACATGGCAAGCGGCAGCACAACCAATCTGTGGACACACTACACAGACAAGCATGCGCCCAACCTCTCCATTGCAATGGACAAGTATATAACAAATATAGATATATATATATGTATAACTGTATAATGTATAGAATGCCCGCTTTATTAGTGTATTATGAATGATGTATATATACTGATTAGATGGAACATGGAATAGTGTTCTGTAGATTCCAGGATGATGACTCAGCAATGATAGAATGTATGAGTCATGGTGACACATCGTGAATCGTATGTGACAAGTCGTCACACTCACCTCTTCTTCTTAGAGGTAGACTTGCTTGACTTGGACTTAGTCTTGGACTTGGACTTGGAAGGTTCGTCTGTTGATTGATTGATGATGTTCTTGAGATTGTAGGCTTGAAGGATGTCTACACAATGAGTGAGATTATCTGATGTTTCCCATGTTGCATTGGCTTCATCGTATCCAAACCACTTGACCAAATACTCGACACTCTTGTTCCTCTTGGTGCGGTGGTTGATGATCCTTTCCACCTCGTGTTCGAGCTCTCCATCTATGATCTCGCCGTCTGGCTCAGAGTTTGGTCTCTCCTCCTTCTTGAAAAGGTCATCAGCGTTCTCAATGTATAGTTTGATGTCACTGACATTGAATGTTCTGATACGCTTGGCTGACTCTGGTAGGTCGACTTCGACCAATGACTTGTTGATGATGCGCGCAACCTTGAATGGACCATAGTAGTTTGCTAGCAGCTTGCTCGATGTCTCCAACTGTCTCTCATAGCTTGATGGGAATGACTTGCGCGTGACCAACACTCGTTCTCCAACTTTATACTCATGTGCTGTTCTGCCTTTCTCGACGTACTTGATCTGTTTGTTCTGAGCGTCGATGATGTTCTCCTTGATTGACAAATGATAGGTGTTCAACCATTGATGACGTTCTTCTGCTGACATGCCATCGCTCTTGATGCCAAAGTTGAGTGGTGTTCTTGGATCAAAGCCATACAATGCTTTGAATGGTGTCATTGCCGTTGATGACGATACTGTGGTGTTCATTGCAAACTCCAGTGCTGAAAGATGTTCGTCCCATCTCTCGATGTCCTCGAGTGTCTTCTTGATTCTGTTCTTGAGTGAACGATTGGTGATCTCGGACTGACCGTCTGTGGCTGCATGTCCGCTTGTTGACATGTTGAGATGTGTACCCAATTGTTTGAATATCGATTGATAGATCTCTGCTGTGAACTTGCTATCTCGATCTGAGATCATCTTGACAGGAATGCCAAACTGTGACACAACCTTGTTGAAAATGATCAATGCTGTCTCTTCATTGTTGATAGTGATGTGACAGGCTGTCAGCTTGCATGTCTTGGAGAAGGTGTCCACGATGACCAAAACATTGTCAAAACCATTCTTTTTTTTATATTTCACACAGGAGCATATACACTCCTGGCTTCTCGATTTATTGCATTTGCATTTTCGATATGTTTTCACTTCGACCCTAGGGCATTTTTGTGGGGAGTGATAGTTGGTGTTGTCTTGTGATTTCGCACTTTCGAATTTGGACTCCAACTTGAGGTCTAGTTCGGGTCAGGGAAGCTTGACTTTCAAAGTAAGTGCTGCAGTTTACCGTCATGCCAAGGACACAAAACCATTCTTTGACTTTGGGAGTTTAAGAAAGTCCAGGGAAATGATGTCAAATGGTTTGTCAGCTGGTGAGTTGGGATACAATGTCGATTGTTTCTTGATGAGCTGATTGCGCTGACATGAGTGGCAGGAACGACAGTAATGTTCAATGACTTGTAACATTGATCTGAAGATGTAGTACGGTCTGAGTCTGAGATAAGTCTTCCTTGTGTTGAAATGACCGGCATACAGGCTGTCGTGTGCCTCTGAGATGAGCTGTTGAATGATATGCTTGTCTGTGATGATGAGTCGTCGGTCCTCGCCTTCGACCAAATAAGATAGTCCATTGATATCAATCACGGTGGTGTCTCGTCTATCCTTAAGTTGTTGAATGAACTCGTTGTTGATGCTTGATGTTCTGATTTGATCTGTGTACTTTGATGGTAATGGTGACTCGTAATCCTCTCTTCGAGACAGGGCATCCGCAGCGCCGTTGGAATTTCCATCCACATGATCAATCTTGTACTTGAATCGATTGAGGTACTCCAACCATCTGAACTCCTTGGGTGACAGTTGTTGCTTGTCCTTTAAGTACGTGATATTGAGATGATCAGTCTTGATCAATAACTCTGAATCGATGAGCATGCTCTCATACTTCTTAAGTGTCTCGATGATTGCCATTGTCTCTCTGATTGTTGTTGTAAACATCCGTTCACTCTCGTTGAGCTTGCGTGAGAATGCTGCGACCAATTGAAGTGACCCATTGTCATCACGTTGATTGACAGTTGAACCCAGCGCAATGGATGACGCGTCTGTGTACAGTTCCAAACACTTGTTTCGATTAGGAATAACCAATTGACTCTTGTCACTGATTGAATCTTTGATAGTATTGACCAAGTATGTCTGTTGCTCAGTCAGCTTGATGTTGCCCTTGACCTTTGCCACCTCGTACAGTTCACTTGTCCACTCTGCC